ATGCCTAGGCGCGTTGGACAATGCGTAGCACATCAGGGAGCATCCACACATTATTACAGGTCAAAGGGCTTTAAAGCAGTGCAATCATTTTGAAATTTTCATCATTTACTTATTATGCTTGATTAAGTACTTATACAAAATTTTATTAAAATAAAACCATTTAAACTGGGTGTTCGGATTTATATGTCACTTAGTATATTTCCTTATATTTCTTCAAGAAATATTTTTTTTGCAACAAAAAACGCTCCAATGGCTATTTTCAACAACAAAATGATAAAAAACCATTGGTGTAGTGAAGAAAAGCATTTACTTATCAAGTAAATTCTTTTAGTCAAATTTCTTCTGAAAGTAGTACAAACTAATCTGATGTACCTATTAAAGCCTACTTTAAGCTTTAAATCAATAAATCTTCAAAATTACCGAACTGAAGCTCATGTATTTTACACCATTATAAAGCGAATTGAAAGACCTTCAAAATAAGGTATCACTCGACCCCCACTTCCATTTAAGATTTAAGGGTTGGTGTCACCCCCGCCCAGGGGGCTGCACGTGTTAACGTGATTTTTTGCCAAACTTGTCCCCCTCGAAAAAAAATCGACGGGTCTGAGCGTTTTTCCAAAAAAAAAACTGAGCTGCCACTAAATGCGTCTGTTTCGTTTTCGATGCGTCACCCTGTATGTCTATGTCGGATTCCGAATCAAGTTGCTCTGGACGAGATAAGCACAACAAAAGATGCTATACTGTCGAATACAGAAAACAAAGAGGAAAAGGAGCGGAATCTTTGAAGAAAGCCAGACATAGGCATCAAGCTTATAGGAAAGAGTAGGAAACAAAAGAGCCCCGCCCCTCCCCCCCGAGACGGAAATTTTCCTTCATCATGAATCCTGAGAGAACCTAAGGATAATGAACGATAATTTTGACGTGTTTGTACGATAATTACCTGCGACGAATCTGGCAACGCTGATACTTATGAGGACGCATCGCTTACCATAAACAGACTGAATACTGATTCTATAGGTTAGGTCGGTCTTGGAGCGAATATATCTTCAGAAAAATTCCAAAATGACAATTCTCTTTTTATACTGAACCAAACCGTGTAATTTGCAGTGTAGGGCCTTACAAAACAACCAGCTAGGGGATAACACACAGGCTATTTCTAATTTCTTACAGGTTTTCCAAAAGATTTTATCAAATTGTTTTCTCAAATGTTTTGCGAACTCCGCCTAATCTACGATTCAATTAAACGAAACCGAAGTTATTGCTTTCGGCGAAATGAAAATGTGCTCTGAAAAATATCGAACGAAAGCTTTGAACAACTAACATTTTTTTACTCTAAAATGCTTAGACTATCGGGCAGTTTGAAACCGGTTTTGTTTCGATAGAAGTAACAAATGAGCGAATAACGGATTTCCTGAAAAATTTTACAAATAAATCTTGGACATATGGAAGATTGGAACAGTACATTTTATGAAACTGCCGTTGCTGCGTGGAGCGATAAACTAGACGAGACGCGAGGCAAAGGAGAAAAACGGTTCAATTATCTCATTACCGTCTGCGTTTTGTGAACCTGTTTCGCTGTCCCGAATTTTAGAACCGTCGATTTGAAGTATGATAGTATTTGCACTTCCGTGTCAATAATCGAACAAGTATGAATTATGTTGTATCATCAGCACGGCCCAATCTTTTTGAATAAAACAAGCAAAACATACACATCCGACAATGAACCGGCGGGATATCCCAAGAGAACATGTCAGTCTCTCGTCTAGGTAGAACACAAAAAATAATTCCACTAAATCCTATGAACTATGTCCTGCAGTGCTTTGTGCCCCACATGCATACGAGAAATTGACATGTTATTCTAGAACACTTTGTATACGAGTAGCGTGTGATCGCAATCTGCTCCGCTGTTTCAAAATGTTCAGTTAATTTATGTTATCTGCACGTATTGCGACTGTTCTGCATCATGAATGCGTAGATATTTTTTTTAAATTTCAAAGTTTTTTTTTGATATCCCTTTTGTGCGAAATATCTATAACCAGAAACGATAATTTTATCCGGGCAATTAGATATAAAGCTATTTTCGAACGTAATCCCTATTATCTGCGAATTAAGCTATATAGACAGTATATAAAATAGACTGAAACTGTTTTTAAAGTGTCGGTGTTGTTTGTATGTTATTTTAATTGTTATCACAGTTACAATGCGTGAATTAATAAGGCGTCACCATATGGATCGCCTGGATGCTGCTTGTCGAGGGAATCCTTCGTATCGTCGATGTCTCGAAATGGTCAGTCGACCCTCTATTTACCTGATGTTCGCTGCGAAAGTAAACAAACACACCAGAAGTAAACAACTTTAAAAACAACCATAAATGTGTTGTCACTTTTGATGGGATGGAAAACTTATTTTTTCAAATACTAACGTTTCTGATTACATACTTAAATTGCACTTGTTAGAAATGTTACTGCTGGCGTTATTTTACACTGGAACAGCCGGAAAAACAGGTTGATATTTATTTATTTATTTATTTATTTATTTAATTACACCACCAACAGTTTATAAACCAATTACTGGTGGGAAATACCGTACATATATATATATAAAAATCACAAAATAAACTAAAAGCATTGATTGCTTTGTAATTACCAATAAGAACCCATGAAAAGCTACAACTGATCATAGCTCAATCAAACTGTGGTAGCTCTAAAAAAAAAATACCGCTTTACATACTCTCTTAATAATAAAAATGGATGTGTTGAAGATATCAAAATAATTCATATAGTCATTATAACATGAGCATATCGAATATAGCGGTGAGTGCAGCAGTAGATTTGTTCGTGGGGTAGGTAGGTAAAAGGCAAGGTTGGCCCTTGTTCGTACTCTGGGTGTATTGAAATTTAGCATAGACAAAAATGATGGACAGTCATGTTGGTAATTTATAACTTTAAACAAAAAGACTAAAGATTGTATCTTCCTTCTATCATCAAGGCTGAGAAACCTATGCTTTTGAAGTAAGTTATTTTGTGAAATCCCTATGGGAGGATAAACACCATCAGTTTTGAGAGATAAATACTTCAAGAACTTCCTCTGAATTTTTTCCAATGAGTCACATGAGGTAACATAGCATGGGTTCCAGATTATTCTTCCGTATTCCAGCTTAGAAAGAACAAACGAATTATACAGCACTGTAGGTGCTGTGGTACCGATAAACTCTCTTGAATTGCGTATAACGAATCCCAGTGCTTTATTAGCAGAATTCATTAAATTAGTGAGGTGTGCACTGAAGCTCAATGTCCTGTCAAATATTACTCCTAGGTCCCTGAACTCCTCTAAAGTCTGAAGAGGAATGTTGTTAATTTTATAACTATTGGTAATTGAATTTACTCTCCTAGTGAAAGTTAAAGATTTACATTTGCTCACGTTGATAGGAAGTTTATTAGCAGTACACCACTCAGACAGTCTGTCAAGATTCCTTTGTAAATAAAAGCAACTAGATGGATCATCAATTTGCCAGTAGAGTTTTACGTCGTCAGCGTAGAGCAGAATATTGCAGTCAATCGTATTAACTAAGTCATTAATAAAAATGACGAATAGCAGTGGACCTAAGGAAGATCCTTGTGGGACGCCAGTAGATGGAAAAAAGTGAATTGATTTACCACCGTTAAAATCCACATATAGTTTGCGATCAGACAAATACGACTGAAATAATAATACCAAATTTTTGGATAAGCCAATGCTATTTAGTTTTCCCAGTAGTAAACCATGATCGACTCTATCAAACGCTTTACTGAAATCAGTATATAGCACATCAACCTGACCATTAGAATCTAAAACACCTGCTAGGAATTGAGTTAAACAGACTAAGTTTGTTGTTGTCGACCTTCCTTTTACAAATCCATGTTGTGCTGTAGAAATTGAAGAACTTACGTTGTATTGTATGAAATTATGTAATAACATTTCAAACGTTTTCGAAAAATTACTCACAATAGTGATAGGCCTATGGTTTTCAATTAATTTACGGTTTCCATTTTTATGGATAGGTCGAACCTTGGCTTCACGCCAAATCTCAGGAAATGTATGTGATCTGATACTTAGGTTATAGATTTTAGTTAAAGGTGCAGCAAGAATAGGTGCACAATCACGGATTAAGAATGCGGGTATACCATCAGGTCCAGTAGTGAACTTGTTTTTCATTTTCTTTAATGCCATAAGAACCTCCTTTTCTGTGAAGCTATTCAGCACAATATTGTTTGTAGCAATAATATCATCATCTGGCCTAGCTGCTACATTGGGGGTAGAATAGACAGACTGGAAAAAATTAGCGAAGGCATTTGCTATATCAACAGGGTTATTGAAAACACAATCATTGTGAGTGAATTCAGAAGGTGAAAGGCCACTGTGCCTTTTACTTTTGATGAAGGACCAAAACTGATTAGGATCTTTTTTTATGCAATTTTCAGTCTGCTCTATGTACTTTTTATACGCATGACTAACGTCCCTTTTAATTTTGGTTCTTAATTCTTTAAATGTATCATAGACAGTCACTTCTTGATGTTTTTTGTATAATTTATGTAGTGAATTCTTTTGTTTAATATCCTTGATGATTGCGCGAGTATACCAGGGTGGAAATTTGCCAGGCGTACGCTTAGTTTTCGGAATACACATGTTGAAAATATTTATTAGGTTATTGTAGAATAGAGTGCAAGCAATATTGACATCCGCAATATCCTCAAGAAATGACCAGTCCATAAGTGTCAATTGTTCATACAGTGTAACAAAATCAGCTTTGCGAAAATTGAAGGTAACATCATTTGATTGTGACCACGTTTTGCTACGATAGTTTCTGTGTAATGTAATACAAAGTGGAGGATGATGTGAGTCTTCGGGCAATAGGTCATCGTATGCTCTAGTCACCAAGCATGATTTGTTGGAGAACACTAGATCAAGCAATCTATTGTTAATATTAAGAATTTGATTGTATTGTAAGAAATCAAAATATGCTGTAAAGGAGTTAACTACATTCAATTTGCGTGACGGTGAGATATTCTGTATACAAAACTCTGGAATGTTGAAATCCCCAAGAAAATAAACATCATTACCAGAGAGGTATGTCAAAGATTCTAGATGCTCAAATAAGCGCTCATAACATGCAGCGCTAGTATTGGGTGGTATGTAAACCACAAATATGTATGTGGTTTTATATTGAATGGTAAACTGAACGCCTACTAGGTCTATGCAGGGAATATCACTCTTAATAGCAGTTGTATCAATTTCAGATGAATTCAACCAGTCTTTCGTGGCAATTAGAGCCCCACCTCCTCTTGTACATTCTAGGTTAACTAAGTCTCTATCAGATCTAAAAACACAGTACTGGACTGTAAATAGCTCTGCATTGAGTACCCCTGATTGCAGCCAAGTTTCAGTACAGCAAATGATGTCATAATCAGATATTGTTACATTGAGAAGGAAATCTTGACATTTGGAGTTTAATCCCCGAACGTTCTGGTAATATACAGAAAGAGTTTTTTTAACAGGACATGAGGAATGTGCTGTGCGAGAGTTATGATATTCATTGCTATATAATTCACCGGGTAGTTCGCAATCAGGAAAAAATCAACCTGGATTTAAACTCTTCAATTCGCTGTAAATAGTAAGGACACCTAGAATCCCAAGCAGCATGTGCAACATCAAATTCAGTATTCCTTTCATTATTACTTTTCATACAGTTTATACATTTCAGCGAAGTTGCTTTACAATTTTTGACTAAATGATTTTCACTACACCGCGGACAATGAAACTTCTTACTTTTACACTCTTTTGAATAATGCGAGAATCCGCTACAATTAAAACATCTTTTAATATCAATAGCATCAAATACGTCACACACATCATACCCCACGAATAACTTACCGCTGCACACAGACAAAACCTTATTGTATGTATCCATATCAAGATTAATAACAGCTTGATAAATGTCATTCCGTTTTTTGATGGGCTTGATTTCAACCACCTTACATTGAGAATGTTCAGTAAACGCCTCCTTATTCTGTGCACGAATGGACTTGATAACATCACCTTCAGACAGTTTACAAGTCATGCCTGCGATACGCACTCTAGGATGAAAGCTGGATACCTCTTTAATTTCATATTTATCAGCCAATTTTTCGACAGCTATCTGCCTCAACTTCCGACTGTCATCATCAGACGAACAGCCTACCAGCATGCCACCATTCCTTATATTCTTCACTCCAGATATATGTAAGTTTTCGGAAACTGGATCAACATATTGAAGTAAATCTGATTTGGTAGTTTGGACAGCTTGGGTGGTATCTTTCGGTTGAATGATGATTGCAGATTTACCCTTAGCTACCGACGAATAAGATTTCTTGATACCGGAAGGCCCAGGTTCTGGTAGATTACCCGTTTTTGCAGCCATTTCCATAAACTCCGTACGGAAAGTAGAAAATAGAAGTTGAATATTTTCAGATAGACTTGCAAGTTTGACGTCTAGAAGTTGCTTTACCTCATTGGAGTAAGTACAGCATGACTGACATTTCCATAGTAAACCATTGACCTTTTCAATGTTTTTTATCACATCAGCTGACAGTCCCTGGCATGCTGCATGAAAAACGTTATCACAAAAACCATCACACTTAACACTTTTGGAACGAGCTGTGATAGCCGTATTACAGGAATTGCATAATGGATCGGCCATTACAACCAACCACACTATGCGCAATTGCACCAACAATGCACGAATAGAAAACTGTAACTTCAACTTTGAACGAAATTTTTTGTCCAAGTAATAACAGCAAAAAACAACAAAAATGTAGAGAGCAACAGATACACCGTATATCTCGACAACCGGACAAGGTTGACGCTATTAAGCCATGAAAGCACCACACCGAACATGAATCGCTTTTCTAACTGTGGGAAATTATTCATATCAATATTTTCGAATGTAGTAATATTCACGGTTAAATTCACCGTTTCGAAATTTTAGCGGTATTTTTTATTTTTCATTCAAGCACAAAAAATGGCGTGTAGTAGAGAGACTCTATACTTTCTACGCGTTCGTTGGTGGTTTCAAAGAAAACGAGTCAAACTTATTTCTGTTTCCACGGCAGATAATAGAACGTCTTTAACTGATACATTTGCCACCGTCTACACCCTACAAGTCCCAACCCCCAATTTTCGACCCTTGTAAAAAATTTTCATAAATGATTAAACGCCTTTTTTTACCTTTGACTTTAAATAATCCCATAAGAAAAAATCTAGGTGCTGTTGATTCCGATTTCACTGTTTTTTCTCTTAAAACTTTTAGAGGGTAGTCTAGATTATTTAGAAACAAAAAAAAGTGTGGATGAAGCACGCTTTTCATGAAATAATTTTCCCAAAACGTTGTATTTTTAGCTGTTTCCAACATTATTTCCACCGCATCTCTATCTACCATATGACGTTGACGTCTGTCCATATGTCATATATGAGAGGCGCTTGCTTGCGGTGTTGCCGGATTGGGCTCCGCATTTAGGCAAAAATATGTAAAGTTGAAAATTTATATACATATGTATATTAATTAAAAACCAAAAATTGAAACAAACAACAGTAGCAAAATAAAAGGCGATTCCTAATAAGGATAAACAAAAAAATAACATTAGTAAGCTAAAAAATGATAAATTATAAATAATTATAAAAAACAAAAAATAAAAACAGTAAAACAAAAACTAAATCCATGTAATTATAAAAATCAAAAAATAAACAGCAGTAAAATAAAAAGCAATTCTAAATGATTATAAAAACAAAAAATAAAAATAGTAGTAAAAAACAATTCCATGTTGAATAAAAAGCAATTCTAAGTGACAACACAAAACAAAAAGTAAAAACAGTAGTAAAACGAAGAACAATTTCATTCCATCCAAATTGCTTTTTAATTTACCTTTTGTTATTTTTGTTTTTTTTATAATTAAATGGAATTGTTTTATTTGTTTTACTACTGTTTTAATTTTTTGTCTTTTATAATCACTTTTTATTTTACTGCTGTTTGTTATTTTTTATTTTATACTTAGTAAGAATCACTTTTAATTTCACTACTGTTGTTTGTTTCAGTTTTTTGTTGTTCATTAATATAAATTTTCCACTTTTTATATTTTTCCCTAAATACGGAGCCCAATCCGGCAACGCCGCAAGCAAGCGCCTCTCATTTATGACATATCCATAGACGTTAGCATCATATGGTAGATGGCGGTGGAAATAATGGGGGAAATCACTGCAAAAAAATACAGTGTTTTGGGAAAAAGATTTCATGAAAAGCGTGCCTCATCCACACTTTTTATGATGTAAAATAATTTATCAGACTACCTTCTATAAGTTTCAAGTGAAAAAAACAGTGAAATCCGAAGTTCTATAAGACGCAACAGTACCGAAATCTAATGGTGTTAAATCACTCGATATAGAGCGCCAATTCTGATCACCGAAACGGGAAAGTACACGACTAGGAAATATCTCATGCAGTAATTGTGGTGCCTTCTTATTGAAACCGCATATTGGATTGAATTGTTCAATTAATCTTTTCTAAGTTTACAAGGTTAAAACACTATTCAGGCCATATTTTGTATAAAATACCAACCCTAACCTCTCAGTTGTCAAATTGTTCTTGTTTCAGGGCTGTCTACAATTTACTGCAAATTCATATGTTGCGTTAATTATCGGACACCCTTTATAAGAAGCAGTTGGATGTCACACGGACGACAGTAACGTTTGTCGTCGATTCACGGAATACAGCTAGCTAGAAGGCTAGCAGCAAACCGCGCTGCTCGGTAAACAGTGAACACACACATCGCGGTTGGCCAAATGACCAGTTGGGATGTGTTGTTTTGGCTTCGGTTGCCATATGGCGTTCCGACCGAGACAGTTAACCTGTTAGGTTTTCGTTCTGCGCCTGCTGCTGCTGCTGCTGCTGCTGTTACTTGGTTTCTTCTTTCCTTACATCACCATCAGCCATCCCGTGAGCCGTGTAAATCACGGTCACTCACCCATACCGCGTTATTACAATGTCTTCATATTATCGTTATTATCATGCCGATAGTGTCTAAGTTATGTAATTCGGATGAAATGATACCTAACATCACTATACAGGGTGTCCCAATATTCCGTGGCATAGAAGTACCGCATATGTTTATACTCATTGGACATGATTTACCTGTATGCAAAAGTGCTTCGTTTGTCCGTTAGAGGGCGTTTTAAACAACTTTTTTTACCAGATATTTAAAGAAACGTTTTGCTACACGTCCTCATATTCGACTTTTACAAAGAAATAAACGAAAGCGTTCGAGAAGGGTGAAAAAACACACCAAAAAATAGTGTATAGCAGAGTTTTTGGGAACTTTCCCAACGACTCTAAATTTTTATTAATTAAATGTCCTTTTATTCAATCGATTTTTTGTCATCGAAATGCGAGCAGTACCTACTTGTTAAGTTATAAGATTAGCGGACAGACAGTGACATGTTTTCTCTTAATGTACCTACGTATCCTATAACATCTAAAAAACATATTATCGCATTTCCAACTTTTCGCTATTACAATACTTCCTCTCCAGCGTGGCGTGGGGAGTAAATTTTAAACCAGACTACGTAGACGATATTTTCCATATCTTGGATGAAATGGAAGAAAGTTGTGAGAGGGAGATGATTATGAGAGTATGGAAAACGGTAAATCCATCGTATTAATTTTCCGCTCTGCGAGGTTTACTTGTAATTTTTAAACTATACTCGCAGTAATCACAAGATACATCATTCATAAATATTCAAAGAAGTGCGCTTCACACTGGATGAGTTCTGGTTGATGGTTGATGGCGAGCAAAGCGAAATGCAGACGATAGTCGCATATTTTAACGGTGTATCGAGAAAGCAAAATAATCGGTTTTTTTTTCATTAATTTCATCAGCTTTTTCACGAAACGATTGCGTAAGGCCGCTGCATCTGTTGATATGTTTCCCGCGACATCTGTTTTTAAACGCTTTAGGAATTTCTATTACTCTTCGCACATCAACGAAAACAGTTTCTCATTGTATATTTTATCTACAAACAAGGATTTTTCTTTAACGGGGCTCCTACAATCACGAGCACCATCTGCTGAGGAAACGTGGGGTGAAAAGGAAACGAGGGTGGGCTGGGCTTAGACGGTCGTCGGTGCTACTTTAAAAGAGGAAACGATGACTGCGGGTGCATACCAAGGTAAATTTTTATAATAACAGAGTCGGATTTCGATTAGCGATCTAGACTGTAAATCGTTTCTTATTTTGGTACTCAGCAAGTGATCATTTAGTATTTTTCTCCCCTTGTTACTGTTCGTCGATATTGTGTTGTTGAATTGTTGTTGGTGTGATTGTTCTTGAGTGACTTTTTTATCAAGGCTGATAATGGGCAATAAAGGGTCATATGCGACCATTTTAATTACGAATGCAGTGAGTTTAATTCATGATAAGTCAACAATAGTGTGAAGCAGGTCAACTCTATAATCGCAAAATACATTGGGGTAAGCGAATAAATTATTGCAAGAAGAGGTCATACCATGGAAGATGTGCTATGTGGTCTAAATACATTTGCGTTCTAAGCTTAGTCCAACCTCGCTTATCGCTAAGATGGAACAAAGACTCAAACGCAAGAATCTTGAAAAGAAACTCAGACCAAAAAAGCTGATATAAAAATAACTAACAATTCGGATAGCAATTCCAAAGAAAATGAATAGTTTTATGGCGAATTCAATCAAAGACCTGACATTAACTACATTGATTTGGAAGTTGCTAAGCGAAAATTTTTAGGGAAACTTAAAAAAAGTGACGACGAGATTTTGCAGATCGAACAAGTCACCAAATCACAGGACTGTACTTTGTCGCGCCTTCATCGGAGAATAAGGTTAACAACGTCTCGATTTGGTGAAGTTTGTAGAAGAAGGCAGACAACAAGCTGTAAAGTTCTAGTAAACTCCATCATATACCCAACGGAGTTTTCTTGTAACGCAATAAAAAAGGCAATACAAAAATCATTGGACACCGCAGTTCAGTCTTGTGGTTTGTTTATTGATCGCACACATCCATTTCTGGCAGCCTCGCCTCCATCTACCTATCACAGTAGACAAGAAATGTACTTAATCCAGGTATAAACCTACCTGTTTATTGCTTTTCAAAAACTACCTAACTGTTTCCTATTATCTTGACGGCATAAGATATTTTTATGACCCTCATTCAATTGTTACCATGTACATGTACCACATGACCCTTGTAAACATAATTGCGTTTCCTGACATGAATAAACGAATTTTAATTTGAGTTCTTGAATTTATTTTAAGAAAGATATCAAATTATTTGAATACATTTTTTTTAGTCGGAACGCACCGTCGCGTCGCTTGGACTGGCAGGGCGAAACAGCAGACGAATTTCGCCCAAAAACCGATTTGCACTTCACACAAAAAAATCGCTAAGTTGACCAGAAAAAGTGCGCACTTCAACCCATCATAAAACTTGTGCAACAACAAAATTTCAAAAAGTGCTCCTATAGCACCCTGGGCAATTATCTTCTCAACATACCGTATGCATTTCATTCAAAAATATTGGAGTGTCAGTTTTGAAGCAGCTGAACCCTTGTAAATGGCTTGAAACTCACTGCGTCGGAGCCGCCTTAAATTCTATATTTTTTTACTTAGTCATTTAAAAGATATTCTCGACCTGGATCATACCATCAAAGGTAACTAGACGTATGAATATCAATAAATTGAAAAGTTTGTTTATATTTCACTTTTTGTAATTTTGGGTATCAGCAAAATTATATGGTTCGATCTTGTTTCTAAAACTGTAAACCCTAACATAAGTTTATTGCTGATTGTTCGATAAATAATTGTGGTATTAATAAAATCATCGTCATTAGTTGAACTGTTGTAACGATCGTCTTCGTAATAACAATTAATTCCTTGCAATATAAATTATGGGCAATGTGCAGAGGTTAGTGGCCGATGATACGTATATACGTAGTACATTCAGGGAACAGTCATTATCGTAATCTACCGTAACCATAATCACCGTTTGTGGTGTATTGCAGGCTAAACAAAATGGGGCAATTTAAAAACCAACATGTGACCTCCATTTGAATCCTGGGAGTTACGAGGGATGTCTTTTATATTTTGCATATGGAAATAAAACAACACGGCAGGTAGTTTTAAATGAATTTATTGTTTTTCGAAGTATTCTCCACGAAGACTAATACACATCTGCATGCAATTTTCGAAGCACTTATTCCACTCGTTTGCTGGCAGATCCAAAACGGCAACTACTTCATTTGGTGACTGGAATCTTTGTACACGCAGTCTGTTTTTAATTTTCGGGAAAGTAAAGAAATCGTTAGGACTTAGATCGGGACTATATGGAGGATGGTCCAATAATTCCAGGTTTTCTTCCGTTAAATACTGCCTTGTTCTTTGGGCTGTGTGCGAACTTGCATTGTCTTGGTGGAGGATGATTCTTCTTTCGGGGTTGATTTTGCGAAGCTCGGTGATGACTTTTGCCAAACAAAGGGTGGTATGCCAATCCGCAGTAACAGTTCTTTGCTCATTAAGAAGAATTGTTGCAATATGACCCGCTTTTGACACAAATGTCGCGACCATCTTTTCCGAAACACTTCGAGAACGGATGACTTTTGTCGGCTTTTCTTCACCTTGGAACACCCAAACAGTCGACTGTCGTTTCACCACTAACAATGCTGTACACATTTTCTGAGTTTCCGGAATTAAAACAAAGCGTTTTTTGACACCAAGTATTAACCCTGGCTGGTTTCTGCTCTTCAGTCAACAGGTAGGGTATCCAACGAGAAACTAATTTTCTCACTCCTAATTCTTCATGTAAATTTTTTTGAATTGAGGTCTTTGAGATCTTCAAGGACGCCTCAATCTCGCGATATGTCACATGTCTATCTTCAATGATGAGTTTGCGCATAGCATCGACGTTTTCCTGAGTGACTGACGTTTTTGGTGCACCCGCTCTGGAATCGTCGCTAAGACTCACCCGTCCACGTTTGAATTCTTCATACCAACGGGAAATTGTCGACTGATGTGGCGCTTGGTTGCCGAAAACAGACAGTAACTCAGCAAGGCATTCTTGTTGCGATAATTGTCTCTGAAAGTTGTAATAAATTATGGCGCGAAAATGTTCTCGGTTGAGTTCCATTTTCCTGATGACTTCGTGACACTTAGAAATTCCCTGTAGTGAGAACACTGCACGTATCGTTGTGAAACTTTGAATTTAAGTTTACTAAAGAGTGAGGTTAAGATTCAGTACTGACGTTCGATCCGCGCGGCCTACTATGTTTTTATATGCAAAACTTAAAAGACATCCGTCGTAAAACGCGAAACTTACATTTATAGTTATTAGTTTACGAGTAGTTTTGGCATAGGAAGTAACACTAATATCGCAATTTCTAAAATGTTTACGATTACAATAATTCCTCGTTCATTGGCGAGGCGAGCAAAAGTAACATTTTCTAACAAAATGGCTTACTTACCGTAACGTTTGTCGTAAGAATGGTTTAATATTTTTTAAACGATGCATATTCCGATGAAAACCAAGCACTACCATTAAAATCGTACACCGATTTAATATAATAACCGTAATGGCGTGTTGCCGGCCAGCAAAGCAAATATAATATCATTTTCTGCATATTTTCACTAATTACCAGAGTGCGTATGAGTTTTTTGAGGAGCGTGATTTAACGGCGTGTATCAATTTCGTTTCGCAAAATGCATGGATGATGTAATTTTATTGTTCGAAAAAATAGACGGAGATATTTTAGAGGATGATTCCTTGTTAAAAAATATAAAAAAAGTTACTATAAACATGGTTCCGGAAAAGCAGAGTTTTCAAGATACAGGGTGATAAGTTTTAATTTTTTTTATTAATATATAATATTTATTCGATTCTATTGGAACTTGGCAATATTATTTGTTGTACTCGTATTAAGAGGATTAGATAGATTAAAATGATCAGGTCCACGGGTGTCACTTAGCGAATATTATTGTTAAAAAAATGTTCGTCACTCCCTTTTTTGTATCTTCAACGTTTGTTGTTTGATTAAGCATATAAAAATACAACTCCTTTTTTGTATTTTCTCGTATCTCACTTCGTTTTATTGCATGTCACTGGACAGACAGTACTGGTTTATTAATTTTTGATAAAAAAATCACAAGTGCTTCGGAAAATAAAAAATCATTTCTGCATGGAGGTTTGACATTTGCATTTTTTTTAAATTTATCACCCTATATTTTGAAAACTCCGCCTTTCCGGATCCATGTTTATAGAAACTTTTTTTCATATCTCTTAACAAGGACTCGATGACCTTCTAAAATATCTCCGTCTATTTTTCGAACACCCCATAATTGTCATTGTGGCCGAAACGTTAGCGAAAACTTTTTTTTTCAGAAATGATCAAGCTCTACTAAAACCTCAACCTACAACAATTCAGCAATTCTTATCTTTAGCCTCTTCGGACCGGCACACGTATCATGTATTTGACATTATGCTGTTTTTTTGACATTATGTAGGTTTTTCTACGAGGTATTAACGTAGCACTTAGTTGTACGTGTACATGCAGACCAATACACATAATCTTCTAGATGCCATCTTGCTATTCAACCGACATTCTTCTCAGAGATAAAAACTACAGACAAGTACCATTTGGTCTCACAAAGCATCTGCAACCAATAATGCGTGTAGTTTAGTTGAGTGATTCCTCCATAGATGGACGTTCACAACGATCCTAGTGAGCGAACGTGGAATGACTGCTTGCGCCCTAAAAACTACCTAGTTTACAAGATGACATCTTACAGGTTGTTGTTCTGACGTTTTATAGGTTTTTTACATGATACCCTTGCGGACCGTTCTTGACGTAAAAATTTCATTCAAAATTAAGCAGTACTTTAGAGGGTTGCCAGTCAAACAGAGCGATGTTTTTACGTGATGTACATCAAAAAAAAAGTCTCGTTTTCGAAATTTTGCACAATAAAAAAACTTGGTTTGAAATCGTATCGTGACTTTATTTTGTAGTCTGATTGAGCAGGAAGCACGCTCTTAACGGGGTATTATCTAGGAAATCTCACATGTATAAATGAATCTATATTAATGGATGGTATTCATTAAGAGAATACTAATTTTCATCGGAGATGCTCTAATACAGCTACTTTCTCAGTGTTGTTTCGATTTTAATGTTTGTGTAATTTCTTTGTTGACTAACGAACGGATGCTGCATAAAGTACAGAATTGTATTAATCTCTAGTTTATTCATGAATCTCTACATTTTAAAAATTTGCCGTCTTTGCTAAAAGAGGGATGAGATTCACGCAGACGACATACGTATGCGTTGTTTGAAAACTTTCTCGTACAAAGCCTAATATACAATATATAATATATAACTTCGAAGTTGAGTCATTTATTTTAACAGTGAATAGATCTGATCAAAAGAAATGTTTTTTTCCTTTACCATTTTTCTGGTAAAATTAAAGTAACAAAGTTATAGCCCTTTGGAAGTTTGAGTACCGCTCTGTCTCAATATCATGTGCTCGTGTTTGGCAACAATGGATATAATCCGCCTTACCGGTTCATCGCATCGGAAACAAAAAAGCGAAAGAATTTGGAACGATGTTTGTACAGTTTATTATTTTATTCAGTTCAGTTATACATACAGTCAGTGTCAGTCGCGTGTGAATAGTGTCTGTTGCGTGGCTCAAACGAAATAAAAAATGGCACATGTTTATGCGGATCGGTTTCCCAATCGAGTGCAAACAACCCCTCGTGCCTTTGTTAATGTAGTACAACGGGCTCGTGAATCAGGTGACTTAAGACCTCACAGGGGACCTCACAATCAAATACAGGTCCGCACTGAAATACTTGTCGGGAGGATACTTTATAAAACAAGGTAAAAAAATTTTTTTTATTTTTTTTTATTTTTACACACATATTTTGGTTTATCTTCCTTCTACAATCATTATCTGAAAATTAATGACTCAACTTCAAAGACACCCTGTATACAGGGTGGCGTATCGAAAACGAAACAGACGCATTTACTGGCAGCTCAGTTTTTTTTTTGAAAAACGCTCAGACCGGTCGATTTTGTTTTCGAGGGGGACACAAGTTTGTATCGAACAACAGTACTTTCGTTTCAGCTTAAATATCAGAATGTCCAAGAATCTCATCAATGTAGGTTTGTTAAAAAACAGGGTTTACAATTTGCTTGGCGATTCAATTTTCATTAAAATCATCATGTAAAGTCCTAACTACCAAACTACCAACATTTCGTTGAATTCTACAATGTCGTTAATAAAATTATTTGAGAAGAACAGAGATGTACAGTTGCGCCTTTAAAAGTCTGTAACTCAATACTGAAGACTCGTAAGATTTTTTTTATAGTATCTTGTGGTGTTATCTTTGTATATTCTTTATGTATACAAGAGATTGAAATGTTATTCTGGGACACCATACATTTACATGAAATTATTAAAGGAAATGTGAAAAAGCTTCATCACCAAAAAAATAACGACTATAGAGTAATAATAATAAATCAAGTGCACTAAATTCTCATTAGGTATGTGTATTGAAAAGTCGTAAGTGACAGAAATAATGAAACATCAAAAATTGTGTGTATAACCTAAAAGCTACAAAACGTTAATCAAAAAACAACGCAATTCTTCGTGAGTTATAGGAACGTATATCGTTCAGCTTTTATATAATGAGAAGGTGCTTTTCTAGAAAATAAAACTTACTTTTAATGCGTGTAACAGAAGGAAGGATATGTCGAAGACTCCGTTGGGTGTATTATTTCCATGAACATATGCGGGGGGTGTTTCTTGGACGCGTCGTAAATATTTTAACCGCGAACACCGTTATGAAAAGTAGTGGCGCGCAGTAGCACCGCGTCGAGTCACGCGTTCTCTTCGCCGCTCTTCGCGATTGTACATCGACTCCGGATGAAGAAATGAAGAAAAAAGAGAAAAAGCCGCAAAGGCCGCGAAGAAGACTGGCCGCGTCTCGGCCAAGTTCGCGAACAGATTGCGATGTTGCCGGCATTTACGAGCCCCTACCCACTTCAATCGGCACATCTATTGAAATCTTAGTTTTTTTCTTATCAAACACAAATAATAAAACTATAGCAGGGTGTTATAGGTTTAAAATATTAAAAATGAATATTTTGATGATATATAGTAGAAAACACCAACTTTATCACTCCCTAATCAAATTTGCAGCATAAAAATAACACATGTTGCAATTACATCATACCATCCTATTTTCATTTCAATGCAAAATAAGTCTATAACGCATAGGTGGCTGTGAAAAATAAAAGCCATGACAATTGTTTTTATTAATCACAGCTGTCAGAATACGTTTAAAATAGTTTTGGGTAGTTAAGGTTTTCAAAATGGGTAGAGGAAAGGTTATTAGTGAAAAAATTCGGTTACTGATAATTAATTTTTTTAATTCTGGAAACTCAAACTCAGAAGAGAAAAGTGAAATTTCCAGCATCTGTTATGCTCTGGGGCAGTATCTCATCAAAAGGAGTAGGAAAACTTCATTTTATTGATGAAAATGTGGATGCAAACAAATATTTGGCAATTTTAGAAGAATCGCTTTTACCAGTGACGGAAGAATGTTTGACATCCGACCAAGATTTTGTGTTTCAGCAGCATGCCATACCTCAAAAAAGGCTATATAATGGATGAAAGAAAATAATGTACCACTTTTGAAATCGTTTTCTGAATTGCATACAACCTACAACTATGTAAAATACGTGAATCGCAGTGCTTGAAAATTAGCAAATTGTAACACATTCATCCTAATTTACGGAGTCCGATACAAGTATTACAACTTATATCTATTACAGTTTCTTCTCTAACTTCCAGTTTCGCAGCGTGGCAAAAATGTCGAGATCGGTTGGAACGTTGAAATAATTACGTTCGCATCTTCCGAATTCGATGCGGTGCGAATTTTGATGAACGTATGAAAACTTTCCATTTAAATACAAACACAAACATCATACGGTAGTCGGACTGATCTCCTGTTACGAAACGAATTGGACATTGTGACGTGGTTTTAAATGAAAGTGCCAGCGTATATTCCCCGCCGTTAGAATAATAGCAGCCTGAAACTTATGGGAATATACAAGATTGAATGCATACGTGAATATTTGCGTAATTATGCGATAGTTGTTATGTGAACCTTGATTAGAATCTCAACACATTCTCTTCCATTTCAAATTCGTTAAAAGGAGAAGACGCTCGTGCTGTGTAAATAAACTAACCTCGGTGTGAATTAATTTGAAGGCAATGAAGACGCGTCCGTGAGACTCTCATATAGCCCCAAAGTTTGCTAAAAAAAACCTGCCTTCCTTTGCTCACCCTGTATAAGTGGATCAATAAAAGAAATATACCGATGCAACCCTGTTCGTGTTCTCAAACACTTGGTCAAGAACCTCCCGAATACCGCAACTCGATATCTTTTTCCGTTCCGATAATATTGAGATTTAAATTTAATTATATTCAAACTTTTTTTTAGCATCGGCAGACCTAGACTACTCGTATCATAAAAAAACTATCGCCAGTGTGTATCAGAAGAAAACTCAGCTGAGACGACGACCAAGTTGAGATACGTCCTGTTGTTTTATTATCATGATCATTTCGTGTTGTGTCGAGTTTGTTTATGTGAGAATGGTCGCAAAGGTCATCGCGACATCGCATGCGATACTGTTCCGTTACAGCGAATCTTCTCTCTACCTCTCCTTCTCCAATTTCCATTTTCTTATATGGACGCGACGATAATTCTTCTCAACTGCAGCAAGTAACTACTTGCTTGTCTGCTCGTCTCCTTTTCTCTTTTAACTTACAATACTTGCAGCATAGTGTATAATGGCTGATCGCAAATATTAGGATGCATATTATGTACCTACGTATAAGAAATGGCGAAACAACACTAACTACGTCAAAGATTTTGGGTTCAGCTGCTTCAAAACTGACACTCCATTTGTGAATATTTTTGAATGAAATTCATACAGTATGTTGAGAAGATAATTACCCAGGGTGCTATAGGAGCACTTTTTGAAATTTTGTTTTTGCACAAGTTTTATGATGGGTTGAAGTGCGTACTTTTTCTCTTCAACTTCGCGATTTTTTTAAAAAGAACCTACTGAAAAAAAATGAAAAAGTGGCTCTATATCACCCTATGAGGTTTTGTTTTCAGCACTCTGTGAAAATTTCATACAAAAATATCAAAAAATAAAGCATCGTATTTAAGCTTAGAACGCAAATGTATTTAGACCACATAGCACATCTTCCATGGTATGACCTCTTCCTGCAATAATTTATTCGCTTACCCCAATGTATTTTGCGATTATAGAGTTGAACTGCTCCTCACTATTGTTGACCTCATCATGAATTAAACTCACTGCATTCGTAATTAAAATGGTCGCATATGACCCTTTATTGTCCATTATCAGCCTTGATAAAAAAAGGCACTCAAGAACAATCACACCAACAACAATTCAACAACACAATAGCGGCGAACAGTAACAAGGGGAGAAAAATACTAAATGATCATCAAAATAAGAAACGATTTACATTGTAGATCGCTAATCGAAATCCGACTCTGTTATTAGAAAAATGTATCTTGGTATGCATCCGCAGTCATCCTTTCCTGTTTTAAAGTAGCGCCGGCGACCGTTTAGGCCCAGCCCACCCTCGTTTCCTTTTCAGCAGAAGGTGCTCGTGATTGTAGGAGCCCCGCTTAACCATGGACAATGAAAAGATGCTTCAAAATCGCGAAAAACTCACAAACATTGAAACATTGCATACAAACTTCGTGGACAGCACGAAGACCAGAGATGGGAGGTTAAAGTCATAGAGTGGAGATGAAAAGTGTGGATGTCTTGTAAGTATACTGCGCACGGGATGGATTTTATATCACATCTTCTCTACACCATCATCTACGCTCACTACATTTCCAAGAGCCACGCCCTCTTTAAGATAGGATTGGCTTAACGCGAATACGTGTCTTTTCCGACGCACATGAAAATACTAAAATAAGACTCCCATTCAATACAGTTCGGTTAATAAGAATAAAGCCTGTTGGGAAACTTCCGTAAACCCGCTCTCGCTTACGGAGCATCACAACTAGTCATGTGTCGTTCGCGAACGAGTCGTTCAAAATGAACGAATCATATAAGTGAGCGATGATTGAACGACTCTTTTGTTACGTATGACTCCTTCAATTGTGCAAACGGTATCTGCAGTATGCAGCAACTGAACTGCGAACTGACGTGGTAACAGTTAGAGACACTATCTAGGGAACCGGTTGTAAGTTTTGAAATGTCTCATTAAATTGTACGTTGAAATGATGGAATTTGAGAGCAAAAATTGCATTTTGATTCCGAATTCGGTAATTCCTCAAAACACCGCATAACCTTTCTTTTTTCGGAAATATCAATACTTAAATTAAATACAATAACATCGGCAACCCCTTCATATTTCATTTTCATAGTATGATGTATATTCTCTGACTCAGCGAGTCGTTACTATAGGCAACACAATACGCTCGTCAGCCTTCGAGGCCGGTCGGTAATCGTATGCGACCTTTTCGTTGTACCACCCTATGATAAATCTTTTTAGTAAAACGAGTATTCCAAGTTGACTTACCAGGGTATTTGTTCAGCTTTCGTTGCGTTTATGGAGGAGGAGGAAAGAGGAGCGGGAGAAATTGTAAAAAATTGCCATTCTTGCACAAAAATGTCGCTGGAAATAAAAATCACACTTAGGAGAAGAAAAGTAGCTGGTAAAAGAATCTAAATTACCGTTGAAAGTGTAATGAAAAAACTATATATCGGAGTTTCAAATTCGACCCTCACCATTGGGAGCCGGAGGATAATAGATGAAACCTCATATTGAAATTCTGATTATGCCATCTTGTAGCGAAGGAAAAACCACTACAGTCAGGAACAAAATTAAACGACATTCGGGAAAATTCGCTTTGTCCTGCAGTTGCCTAAAAAAATGCCAATGTTGTGGATCGAATTTGAAACAGCCACTATATATATAGGCGACAACTAAAAAAGCTCAGAACGTGAAATGATCGGTTTATTGATCCCATGGATAACAAAACAATACTGTCAGCAGTTCAGCAGATGCACGTGCTTTAACATATTCGCATGTTGAGTACATATTTCAGCCAAAATGGAATTAGTATAGATGTTCAAATTTTATTTTCAGGTAATTGTCAAACACTCGTAATACGAGACTCTTTTGTTAAATATCCTATATTATATTCCAATTTAAGTGAAATTTTTGCTCAACACTAATAACGTACAATTTAAACTAAGATTAATAGGTAACTTTGTATCACTTCAAAACACACAATATCTTGCGTGTTGCGTGTAGTACTGTGGACTGTAATGCAATTTCAATACATTTGAAGTAAAAATAGTTTTTTTTCAAAAATCTTATAGTTCGAATTTGTACAGTTATGTACGCATATAAAAATTCAATACCCGCTTTAGTCTTTTTTCAACGTACAATCAAAAATGTTGTCTCTGGTACCAATGTATCAAAAAATATTGCGCAACAATGAATGTTTGTTTTATTAATGAAGATTGTAGAAAATGTGTTACGAATTGCATACGACACCCACAATAGGAAATTAATAAAACTATGGCAAAATTGGTTCAGAGATCAAATATTATTGCACATGGCTAAGGTGAACAATAACGCTACATAATACAATTTGATTTTTCTATTATAGCTAAATTCTACGAATATATAAGACGATCGCAATAGTGAGCAATCCCAAAATGTCTAGTTTTTGCGATAACAATTTTGGTATGGAGAATGCAAACGGATCAGAAGACAACCAAAAAATTACCTTGAAGACACAAGCGTAACATTTGTTTTAAATTGTTTTTATGCATTAAACTAACTTCAAGGGGTTATTCTTTCAAGCTACAAATGTTATAATTTTTCAAATGTTTTTAGTTTCACAGAAATGGTTAATTTTCAAAAAAAAAAAAATAAATGAAGTGCTATGATTTTTTATAAGAAAAAGTAGCTAAATGATATCTTGTTCCTAACCTAAAATTTAATCCAAACAAGATTTTGTTAAACTATTTTTTCTGGAATTTCTTTTTATTATTAGGCTGTGGCCCGAAAAAGGACCGATTTAAAAAAGAAAGGTTTTTAATGCCCCCGATATTTTGTAATGTTTTCAAAAAGGGTGATTTTGTTCTGATGAATAGAAAAGAATTCCAGAAAAGTTAGTTTAGAAAAACAGAAATTTAAGTGATTTCCATATAACATTTTCTTTGGCCTAAATTTCAGGTTAGGAACAAGATATCGAGATGCGTTTTTCGCGAGCTTGTTTAGACAACATTTAGCTACTTTTTCATAAAAAAACAATAGCAATGCATTTAATTCCCTTTGAGAAAATTAACCATTTCTGTCGGAATGTCTGAAAAAAGCCCTCTTCTCTAGCGGCTACATGTGAAACTAACAAAACTTGAAATATTATAAAATTCGCAGCCCAAGAATAGCTCTTTCCAACTAGCTTAAGTTTGTTAAAATCGGCTCAGCCGTTTCGAAGATACCGGGTGTTTTTTTACGGAAACCTTCGAATACCGCCCACCACTTTATTACTAGAGAGACAGGAAAAATTGTCAAACAAAGAACTTCACAATGTCTTCGACTTTAAAGATCAGGTATTTTTTTGTTAGGTTAATATACAGGGTGGCGCAGCCCCCTGGGCGGGGGTGACACCGACCCTAAAATCTTAAACGGAAAGGGGGATCGAGTGATACCTTATTTTAAAGGTCTTTCAATTCCCTTTATAATGATGTAAAATACATGAGCTTCAGTTCAGTAGTTTTGAAGATTAGGTACATCAGATTAGTTTGTACTACTTTCAGAAGAAATTTGACTAAAAGAATTTACTTAATAAGTAAATGCTTTTCTTCACTACGCTCATGATTTGTTTATCATTTTGCTGTTGAAAATAGCTATTGAAGCGTTTTTTTATGGCAAAAAAGTTATTTCTTGAAGAAAGATAAGGAAATATCTCGTACTTATTTTAAACAGGAATTTAGTACATAGTTTGCGATTGATTTGACCAAACTTTGTTGCTAAAATAACTTGTAACGCTTTATTACATAAATTAACCATGGTATATTCCACAGCAGAAAGAGTTGAAATTATCGAAATATTTTTCGGAAATAATCAGTGCGCTAATAGAACTGCAGAAATATTTAATGAGCGACATGAGAACAGTAACATGCATCGAAAATATGTTCTAGAACTTGTAGCTAAATTTCGGGAAACTGGGTCAGTCGCCAATAAAAAACGCAACATTGAAAATCCCATAAGGAACGAAGTAATAGAAGTGGGGGTTTTGGGGCAAGTTTATGTAGATCCTACGTTAAGTAGGAGACTGTGTGTGGTGTTAGTCGACGTACTGTCCAACATATTCTAAGGTCCATAGTTTTCATCCGTATAAAAGGCTCCTGGTACAAGAACTTAATGAGGACGATTTTGATCGGCGATTACAATTTTGTGAAGATATGAGTGAACGAATTATAAACGATGAACATTTTCTATTCAATACTTGCTTTTCCGATGAATGTTCCTTTTTCTTAAATGGCGTAGTAAATCGTCATAACTGCCGATATTGGTCCGATTCTAATCCCAGAATTTATCATGAGGTTCATACACAGCAGCCACAAAAATTAAATGTTTGGGCTGGTATTTTTGGCGATCATTTAGTTGGTCCTTTTTTCTTACCTGGAAATTTGACCCGTGAAATGTATTTGGAATTACTGGAAGACGCCATAGATCCTGCATTAAGAGCCATAATCAGAATGATCGGCGGTACATTGAGAATAGGTTGATGTTCCAACAGGATGGTGCCCCACCACATTACGCATTACGTGTTGACACTATTTAGATCAGACGTTTCCAGATCGATGGATTGGTAGAAGAGGTGCCATTGAATGGCCCCCAAGATCGCCAGATTTATCACCATTGGATTTCTTTATGTGAGGTCATTTAAAAAGCAAAATCTATGCTACTCAGCGACAAAGAATTGTGAATGAGTGCCTTCAAATTACTCCTCAAATATTGCAAAATGTGCGGCAACGTTTTGAGCAAAATCTTTATTTTTGCGTGGAGAGTCATGGTGGCCATTTTCAACATTTACTTGCCTAACGGGTCAGTTCATTCTTCATTTTTAAATTACTTTGCTGCCAAATGTATTGATCTTCACTAATGATGATGTATTAGTTTTAAGCTTTAAATCAATAAATCTTCAAAAGTACAGAACTGAAGCTAATGTATTTTACATCATTATAAAGGGAATTGGAAGACTTTTAAAATAAGGAATCACTCGACCCCCTTTTCCATTTAAGATTTTGGGGGTGGTGTCACCCCCGCTTAGGGGGCTGCACGTGCTAACGTGATTTTGTCCCCCTCGAAAACAAAATCGACGGGTCTGAGCGTTTTTCCAAAAAAAAAAGCTGAGCTGCCAGTAAATGCGTCTGTTTCGTTTTCGATGCGCCACCTTGTATAGCGCAATTCGCAGAAACATCACTTTTTTCGATTCAAGATTGCAGTTATGCTCCTTAGCGGCATTTCAGAAACTTGAAAATATTTTCCAGGCTTTTCTCTTGGCCGTTTTAGTAATAACTTTTTTTGCCGCAATGGATAGGTTTCCACCTCGCATTCTTAGTTGGCCAGCCTGTACAATACATAACTCGCATGTACTTGTTGCATCATAAAATTTTCTAGCCCTACAAAGTGAAACTCGTCACTGACAAATATAAATATTTTGCGAAAGATTTCCAAAAATGAAATGTCCACAAAAAAATCAATGTGGCGCGATTACGAGTATCGGTGTAGCGGCGTAATGGGATTGCCCGACGCATAACAACAAGTACAACATACGACAGCCACTACCGTTATCATAACGACAACCTATCAAGATCAGTCCGTGTAATTCTGCAATATTTTCGTGTCGAACGTTTGATTGGTGGAATGCGTTACGGACAAGGGCGGCGCGTGCGTTTGGACCACCGTCCACTTGCCACCGGTGTCCGGATCGCACGTCAGATGCGTCAATGCGCAATACGGGATCTTCCTTAGCAGTTTCATCATTTCTTCGGGCTGGCGCGGAGATCGGCCGAGCAGTTCGTACGAACACGTTTCCAAAGTGGACGAGTGGCCGACGATCAGGATGCTGCCGCTCGGATTATCTTCCAGGATGCCTGGAACAAACGGCGATATTTTATACAGGCTGCATATACAGGGTGTTCCTTAATTATATGCTAATATTTAATGGTGTCAATCTACATGAAAGATTAATGTTAGTTTGCTTTATCAAGTATCATATATCTGTGCCTTAGAGGTAAGTACATACGTGTAACTCCATATAATGCAATTCAGAAAACAAGCAAATTAAAGATTGAGTTAGTAGCAGAATGGCTTTTTGTTCATGTTACTGTTAATATGCGAATAGAGTTTTTTTGGAAAACATATTATATGGTACACAGAACAGTAATGCTTCATGCTAATGATCTTAGAACAGTAACATGCATCGAAAATATGTTCTAGAACTTGTAACTAAATTTCGGGAAACTGGGTCAGTCGCCAATAAAAAACGCAACATTGAAAATCCCATAAGGAACGAAGCAATAGAAGTGGGGGTTTTAGGGCAAGTCTATGTAGATCCTATGTTAAGTATCCGCAAATTGGAGACTATGTGTGGTGTTAGTCGACGTACTGTCCAACCGATTCTAAAGGCCCATAGTGAACGAATTATAAACGATGAACATTTTCTATTCAATACTTGCTTTTCCGATGAATGTTCCTTTTTCTTAAATGGCGTAGTAAATCGTCATAACTGCCGATATTGGTCCGATTCTAATCCCAGAATGTATCATGAGGTTCATACACAGCAGCCACAAAAATTAAATGTTTGGGCTGGTATTTTTGGCGATCATTTAGTTGGTCATTTTTTCTTACCTGGAGATTTGACCGGTGAAATGTATTTGGAATTACTGGAAGACGCCATAGAACCTGCATTAACAGCCATATTTGAAAATCAGAATGATCGGCGGTACATTGCGAATAGGTTGATGTTCCAACAGGATGGTGCCCCACCACATTACGTGTTACGAGTTCGACAATATTTAGATCAGGCGTTTCCAGATCGATTGATTGGTAGAAGAGGTGCCATTGAATGCCCCCCAAGATCGCCAGATTTATCACCATTGGATTTCTTTATGTGAGGTCATTTAAAAAGCAAAATCTATGCTACTCAGCGACAAAGAATTGTGAATGAGTGCCTTCAAATTACTCCTCAAATATTGCAAAAGTGCGGCAACGTTTTGAGCAAGATCTTTATTATTGCATGGAGAATTATGATGGCCATTTTCAACATTCACTTACCTAACGGGTCAGTTCATTCTTCATTTTTAAATTACTTTGCTGCCAAATGTATTGATCTCCACTAATGATGAGGTATTAGTTTTATTTAAGCTTTAAATCAATAAATCTTCAAACCTACTGAACTGAAGTACATTAATTTTATATCATTATAAAGGGAATTGAAAGACCTATAAAATAAGGTATCACTCGACCCCCTTTTCCATTTAAGATTTTAGGGTTGGTGTCATCCCCGCCGAGGAGGCTGCACGTGTTAACGTGATTTTTTGCCAAACTTGTGTCCCCCTCGAAAACAAAATCGACGGGTTCGAGCGTTTTTCCAAAAAAAAAACTGAGCTGCCAGTAAAAGCGTCTGTTTCGTTTTCGATGCGCCACCTTGTATATTCAATCGTCGTCGTCGTCATCATCTCCTTGTTGACCCAGCACAGGAATATTATTATAAAAATCATGAAATGCTTCTGGTATCCATTGCAGAAGCATGAGAAGATGATCGTGCTTTTTCTTGCTAAGTCCTTTTGTGGTTTGACACGGCGAACATAGTTCTAGTGGTAACCCTATCGGTTTTCTAGAGGATCTATTAATATTTACCATTTTGTAGTCCTCGTGGAATATGTCTGTTTTATTGCAGAGTATCCCTGGATCCTGTTTTCGAACCTCAAGCCACACCGCTGATGACACTAAAAAGCTTTCTTTTGTCTACTGTCTGTTTCTTTTGAATGAGAGGTGATCCTGTGCCGGAATATAAGGCCTCGAAGTACTTGAAGTCATCTAACTGCATCTCGAAAACTGTAGCTCCGGTTGATCTTATAAGTTGCTGCCAGTCCCATGGAGTACATATTTTCACGGTTGGTTGTTGTTTCATACCTCGTTCGATAAGTGTGAAGAAACTTGTGAATGATACACTTTAATGAAGTACTTGATATTTGTAATATGTAAAAGTAGTTTACGATCACCATAATGTTCCTGTTTGGCTCGGACACCTATAATATCAATCATGTTGTACTTACTAGATTCTGGAGAATCGATTTCCTCCTCCTGCAGTGCAAGCTGCACTTATTTTTGAGCCCTTGAGGACATTATTACCGTTTTTTAAACTTAAGCACCTTGATCAACTTTGAAGAATGATTGAACAACACAGACTGTTTACCGCTGCGTAGCGATGATTCATATGATAGTATTGTGCGATTGTATGGATAAGCGACTGTTTACCTCTAACAAAAAATCACTAGCTCCTTGTTGTATTTCATATATTTCATGATTATCGTAGTTAATCGCTACGATCATTTACTCCACGTAAAGATTAACCAGGGACACTAATTATACGCAGATAATAACCTGCAAAAATTGAGATACGATCGTTTACCTCTAAGGCACAGAGATATTGTAATTTGTCACAGACATAACATTTTTCTTATGTAATAGGAAATCGTAATTAAATAAATAAAAAAATCGATATGTTTGATAGTACGGATAAAGCCATATAATTGCTTGAACTCTTACCTTTACACACGTTAGCTTTCCTCCTGTAATACTCTTCGCACGTCTCGGTGGTGTCCTTGAGATGTTGGTGATGTACGTGCGGCCTGTACGCCCTGTCCACGTGGTATCCGGCCTGTTGCAATTCCTGCGCCTCCATCCAATCGGGCTGACCGGCAGCCGCGTCCTGATACCACCCCGTCCATTCGAACAGACCCGGCTCGACGCGCACCAGCACGTGCTGCTTCACGCCGAGCCCTCTCAGGACGGCGTCCGCCGTTTGGACGCATCGCAGCGACGGAGAGCTATACACGTGATCCACGCGAAGCCCGTTCGCTAGAAGACCCTCGCCTACCTTGTACAACATACACGCACACTAACTGATTTTGTCCGTAGTGAGAAAAAAAAATGGTAAACACCTATGTATGTCTATAGGAATCCAAGCATTTTTTATATATCGAGCTGAAAATTTAATTATTTTACTAGTAAGGGACGCTGAACATATACGTCAAAAATTATTAACATCGGATAAATATACGTACTCGTAGATGTTCACCTTTTTTTGTCAGTATACCTAAACCTCTTAACTTTTGAGCTACAGGCTGTTAAAATTTTAGATATTTTCATGAAGTTTGACGTGCGCATACTAAGCACCAAAAGGCATTTTTTGATGTAGAATATTTTTTAATATTTCTACCAGTGCCGTCCGTAAACTAGAGATTTAAAAAAAAAATATGGTACACCATTGCTTTTTCCGAAAATAAAAATTTGAAAAACACATTTGACCTCTTGACTCTTTTTTCCGTCCAATGCACCAGTATTCCGAAAAAAATAAAAACCATTTTGGCTATTTTAATCAATTGACTTGAGTAAAACAAAACACATCTTACCTACAAACTACCACATCGGCTTTAAAAATTTTGCAAAGCATGAAAATTAAAAAACAAGTTTTCTTCTCAACCTCTGAATCATCAAAGAACGAAGTTTGACCTGTTGTAATTTTTTTCTCAGGTCCGCCCTTACTGGACCCATTTTAAAAAACTGCAAAGCGGAAATTTCAAAATATCAAAATTCAAAATCAAGACAAGTTTTTAAATCTATTCTGTCCTGAGTGTTTAATCAAAATTACAAGGTGTGCGTTGCATGTATCCGATCCTTTTAAAAATTCCGGTGCAGCCAAATGAAGACAGACGAAAAACAAAGTCAGTTTTACAAAATTTCAGCATATCAAAAAAATATATATGTATACTCTTCGGTCAACATCATTAGAAGACCTGCGACAAAGAATTGTGAACGAGTGCCTTCAAATTACTCCTCAAACATTGCAAAATGTTCGCCAACGTTTTGAGCAAAGTCTTTATTATTGCATGGAGAGTCATGGTGGCTATTTTCAACATTTGCACAAAACTCAGCTGCCAGTAAATGCGTCTGTTTCGTTTTCGATGCGCCACCCTGTATAAAGACAGATGAAAATGATAGTTTTTCGTGATGTACAAACCATGACGAAACACAAAAAAATTCCGTTATTAATTCGCAAGTGAATACTGCGCTCGGCTTTCATGTGAAATATAAGTAATAATAAATGGTTCGGTAGATATTTACCAGTAGCGCCTCGTGCAGTCCGATATTGGTGAGCGGCGAGTCCAACAGGAATCCTTCTGCTCCCATCTCCCTGCGCGGCACTTTTTCGGGCATGTTCAGGTCTTTTCTCACGTATTCTCCCGATTGATCGAAACAGTGCAACGCCCAGGAACCGAAAACGAAGTCGACGCGTTCGCCGTGCCGCATCAGGAACAGGTTGCGGACACCGCCGCCTCCGCCATCGCTACTGATACCACCGATTTCTAATGAAGACGAACACTGAACAAAAAACAATACGAAATATGCAAATATCGGTTTAGGCGAGTCGTTTTAAAAGTCGATTACAATACTTCCAATGTTTGGCATTGAAAGTAAAAATGGAAATAACACGCAGCAAATACAGAATATTTAAACGCAATCTTTGATCGTTTGATAAAACCCTTCATAGCTTGACAGCAAATCAAAGTAACCACGACATGATAGGCTTCATAGGAATACGTCTATCATTTACATACTTTAGATTCCTATTTATGAAATTAACCAAACAGAATAAAATGACGCCACTGCAAAGCGCGCGAAAAATACAGAAAAGAACATGAATATTTCCTTTTACTAGATTTTTTACTCATGGATTGAGTTTAATAGGCGTTTACGTTTGTTCAAACACACCTTGAATATCAGTAGATACTCGTAAAATGCTGTAATGATCTGGTGCACAGTTGCTTTGCAAAATTTTACTGTACGCCACTGGAAGCAATATCGTTTAATAAGTGCTTCAATATTTTCCCGGGCGCAAGAAATTTCACTTTATGCAAGAGTATATGAAAAAGTACCCATTCTCAAGAGAAATTTCAAAAAAGTCCTTTTTTAGGGATAAATATAACAATTTTTCAAATTCGATAAAATTTGAGCTATAGCCAACTTTCGAAAAAGTTGAGAAATTACTTTTTGTAGGATAGTCCAAAGATCAAAAAGTTGCAAAAGACAGATAAAATTTCCAAGATCAAAATTTGGAAATCTTTGCTTAAAAACCTGACTTCCTTTTCTCACCCTGTAAAAGTGGATGAAGAAAAGAAATAAGACTGTTTCCCGGATATCGCAAATTCGAAATCTCTTTTCGTTCCGAAAATATCTAGATTTGTATTTGGGTGAAGTTTGTTTAGTTGAGTGATATTGTTGAGTGGAATTTAGATTATTTTTTTGACAAAACATTTGATGAAAAATGTCCATTGGCGAAACGCATGAGCGTGTGTTCTAACCTGGTCGGCGGCGATTTTCAGATCCATCAAGTTTTCGTAATCCCTGGACGGAGGCCTGGAGAGTCTTTCTGGCTCTGCCAAGGGCGCATTTGCGGTGCAGGTGCTGGCCATCGACGACTGTCTGTGCACTTGCTGCTGTTTGCACCTCGACGATGAGAAGGAGTCCCCTATGGAGAAGGGTGCCCTTTTGTTGTTCAGCGGGTCCTCATCTAAGGAGATGCACGCGTGCAACGTCCAAGCATCCATCTCGCACGTGCGCTCCACGTAACTGCTGGGCAACAGACCGCATTGTCCTGCAACAGTATTTAACACATTTTACGTGCAATATGAATAACTGATTTTCATCTTTAGTATGTTTTTTCTAAAGATTCTACAGGGTGTAAACGTTATGGTAATCATTATCGAAATGGGTAATAGTCAATAAGTTAATTTTGAGCCATGGTCCAAAAGTCAATAGATTTTTGTCTAAATCGCTTTATAGTTTACAACTTTAAGATCTTGATATCGACCACAATCACCACAATCTTACTAATTTTTATAATCTAATCTAAAACGTTTTTAAATTGGGTAATTAACAAATAAATGGCATTAAGTTTAAGCCAAAATTTGTAGTCAGAAAGTTTCATTAAATTAGATATTTAAAACACACATGACAACAGCGCGTCGGTCATTAATCACTCTTATCGAACCAGCAATCGATTGCAAACGGTAACAGTGGTTAGTTTGTTGTTCTGTTTTTGTTCGCGTAAGTCGTCGTGTTTATTTACAATGTTCTCGAATTAAGAGTTCGCCGACAGGTTGTTAGTTTACGGTGAAACTCATCAGAATTCAAATCTTGCACCTCAAATTTATCGCGATAAATTTCGCCAACGGGTACACCCAGACAGAAGGACATTTGTGCAAATGTACCAAAGACTTCGAGGTACAGGAAGTGTTCAACCTGCTCATATTCGCACTCGTGAAAGACAGGTTACTGTAGAGCAGGAGGAACAAATTTTAAATATCGTGGAAATCAATGCAGAATCAGCACTGAGGAATTGGGCCGCCGCGTAGGACTATCGCATACTATAGTCCATAGCATCCTACGGGAAAATTTGCTTTATCCCTCCATGTACAACGAGTGCAGGCCTTGTTACCAGAAGACTATCATCGCAGGCTAACATTCTGTCAGTGGTTTTTGCACAAAAACATTGAAAATCCGGATTTTTTAAAAAACATTCTAGCGAAGGACGATATTAAATTTCCATAATACTCACACGTGGGCCAAAGAAGATCCTCATACCATTCGTGAAGGTCACTTTGTGGTTGTATTCTTGATGATCAGGTGATTGGCCTTTTCGAGTTACCCCCAAAGTTGTCAGGAGAAGGATACCTTAGCTTTCTACCCAATAACCTACCAGAACTTTTAGAACAGACGTTAGACAACATGCCATTACAACGGAGACAGAATTTGTGGTTTCTTCATGACGGGGCACCACCACACATTTTTAGAGGCCTCATTCAGTATTTCAACGAACATTATCCAAATCGCTGGATCGGTCGAAATGCTCCCGATCCTCGAAAATGGCCAGCAAGATCTCCTGACCTCAATCCGATCGATTTCTGGTATTGGGGATGGTTTATGGGGCTGGTCCAATAACAACTGAAGCACAACTTCGCGAAAAAAAAAATTAATGCGGCTGAAATAATAAATGGACAACTTCGAGGACCTAGAGTAAGAAGAAACTGGGTTCGTCGTAATGAAGGTTGTGTGGAAAGTGGAGGACGACATTTTGAACACCTTCTTTATACCGGGTGGCGCATCGAAAACGAAACAGTCGCATTTACAGGCAGCTCAGTTTTTTTCTATCACCCATTTAAATAATGACTATCATAACGTTTACACCCTGTATAACGAAAATTAGAGAAATGTTTGCGCCGTATCGTTATGAGCAGGAACAAAAATGGTGGTCATATGGAACACCTTTTATGAAAGATTCACTCTGTTGCCTGCGGTAAACAAAATTATAGCTAAACATGTGGGTTCGAAATTTTATTCATATCAGACTATGATGGTGCAGTAATTACGAAAACGTAAACATGTCAAAACATTATCAAACCTTGTATTTATATTTTTCGACATGAACTTCAACAAATTATGACTAATAAAAATTTAGCAACATGGTGAATTATCGCGTTACACAATTTTAGCGTATCCAGAATTTTTATAAGTGTACAATTTGAAATACACTCCTCGTACATATCAATGACCTTCTTTCATGTATGATCCACAGCTTTGCCGATGACAGCACTCTACATGCAGGAATTCGCAGTGACAAGCTCGTCTCTGCCGCTGACATGGAAAAAAGAAGACTTCCTCTTTGACGAGAGGACCTATTTGAAGGCGCAGCAATCTTGTAAAGTTTAACGCTTCCAAAACACAGTACTGTACCTGTACGAACAAAACGCGTCCTAGCGTACGTTCGGTTTCTGCCAAAGAGCCGTTTATTTCGGAAGGTCGGAGTCCAGATCACCGAGGACTTGATCTAGCACAATCAAATCCCACTTACTAGACTATTTTTTAGGGCTAAGAAGTACTTTTCTCCTCACTCTGTACAAGGCGCAGATAAAATCTTTAAATGTGTACTATCAGAAGGAAAAATGACAGTGTACGCCCCATTATTATCCGCAATTCATAAAAGAGTTATATCAAAAGAAAATAAAAATATTTGACTACCCAATTGCCTCGTTTCTATCATTATTTATCTTACCATCATTTAATTATGTTTTACTGTTAATAGCCACTAACATACTTATCGTTCCTGCTTAATATGGATTTAATACAGTATCCCGTATAAATAAATAGTAGTACCTGTTTGTGCTGAAGTTCCTTCTACCCATCCGTCTGAGGTGTTTGCAAGGGCTTCGCCGTTTATATACAGGCAATCGCCCACGCGCAGATCCAACTCGTCGGCTTCTATCGCAGAATATCCACGGATCGCCTAATACAAAAAAAGCTAAACTCTTCCTAATAGTAAGGGGCCGTTCAAGTATTACGTGAGCACTATGGGGGGGCGGGGAGGTCTTTGCTTTGCTTATTTTGGATGACATGGGGGTAGGGGAGTCTAGATGATGATTACGTCATCGGTAGTTATTTACTTTTTTACACGAATGGCAACCCTCACATTGTCTTTGCTTGAAAACGAAACGCATTTTCGGAGATTCCCGCAAATAATGCATACGTTTAGTGAACAGCGGGCGGTAATTCCCCTACTCGCTTTAGAGCCGAGTAGGGGAATTACCGCGCGGTGTTCACTTGTCTAAATTTCCTCTATAAGTGTATTGTTTCGTTTGGATACTATAGCGAGTAGACGTATTGTAAGCATAGTAAGGCAAGTTAACATTTGTGTTACCATTGATTCCATTAGCCAAAGTTTAATGTTTAAATAAGATGTCGTTTCACATAGACAAATCCAAGTTATACCAAAAATTGTTTGAAAGTTTTAAAAAATATCATAAAAGTACGAAAGTACAAAATGTACAAAAGTTAGTTAACGAAGTGTGGCGAAATTACAAATTACAAGCAAAATCCGACAAGGAACTAGATACTATTGTATCTAAGAGAATCGAAGAAGAATTGCAAGCGGCGACTAAGAATACATCCAATCTACTAAATTTTTTTCTAAGGTTAGTGAAGAAATCATTTTAGGTACCTATGAGTACTAGAAACATTATAAATCGACAAAAAGTTTCTCTTTACTGATTAGAAAATATTATGGCCTATCTCAAAGTATAGAGGTAATATTCATTATATTATAGATTTATTTCTTATGATTGATTCCGTCAATTGGTCACAAAGTACAGAATGTTAGTTTTATACATATACAGAAAACTAACACCCTGTATTTTGTGACCGGAACGAATTGCTCGTTTAAACATATTAGATTTAAAGCCATAGGGTTTTGTATTTACCATATATATTGCCATACTTTGTATTTATGTAGCTTAATAAGAGAATCTTTAGCAGAAGCCATAGAAAGTTTTTATTGTTAGGCAACCTGTAAACTTGCAGAAAAAACACAAATTATACAGTCAGCTTCAAATATTAAAAAAAGAGGAAGAAGATAAAATAAAACCCGGTAATGAATCACAACAACAATGCGAAATTAATGAAAATACAGATAAACAGAGAGCAAATCCTTCTCAGGAAGCTATGAAAAATAAGATTGCTCTACTCGAAAAAAATCTGAATGCTTTGTATTCTGTCAGAGATACTATGCCAAGCCGTGGTGTAGTTGATAAACAGATCATTAAGTTGCGCGAGGATATAAAAACAGCAAAACAGTCTTTAAACAGGAAGGTTCAAAACGCAGTTGCCCAGAAGAAGCACAGGGATAGTATGAAAAGAAAGTTAGAAGATATTTGTCATGAAAATCCAGAAATAAAAAAAAGACTGTCTCTGAGGGGTTCAGTGGGACGTCCTAATCTTGAAAGCAATCAACATTCACTATTGAAAACAATCGCGTATACAGGGTTATCCAAATTAAGTGTCCATCATTAGTAACTTTGTTATTAGTGAAAATACAAAGTTGTTTGAATTAGCAAACTAGTAGCATTTTTAACGCTGGTAAAAATGAGAAATAAAAAAAAACAATTGAGAGTCGTTATTTTGATTTTTTTCAGTAAAATAACATTTTTTTAAATGGAAACCCCTGTATATTATATTTTTTTCTGTTAAAGCATCAAATTTTAAACAAAAAAGCTTACAATAACTTTTCTCCTAGGTTACAAATTGTTGAAGTTATGGCCTCCAATCTGAAACAATTAAATTGTATCGACAAACTTTATTTTCAACATCAACTTATAATCTTACAAAATACAATAACAATTTTTTTTAAAGAAGATGCTCGAAAACACCACCTTGTTCTTCAATACATTTTTGGGTACGTTTTTCAACTGCTCGAACTGTCTTAAGTATGGTCCTACCATCTATCTGGGTTATCTTTTCCCTAACTGCAGTCTTTAACGCGTCAAGGTTATCGTACCTTCGCTTGTAAATTTGGTTCTTTAAGTAACCCCACAAGAAGTAATCAAGTGGGTTTAGATCTGGTGATCTGGGAGGCCACTGTATTGGACCATTTGTTCCTATCCACTGATCATTAAAAGTAGTACTTAGAAAATGATAAGTACCTCTGGAGTTGTGGGCAGGTGCGCCATCTTGCTGAAAATGCAGATGATGTCTACTTATAAGATCCAATTCGTCTAAGAAATTAGTCAGAATTTCTGACATAAATTCCACATATCTTTCACCAGTTAGGGTTCCCTCATAAAAGAACGGGCCAACAATTTTTGAACCAATTATACCGCACCAAACGTTGAAACTGAAACGGACTTGTGGGCCTCTTGGATGTACTAACAAAAGATTTTCTCTTGACCAATAATGGTGGTTTTTTCTATTAAACATTCCAGAATTTGAAAAATTTGATTCATCTGTCCATAAAAGGTAACGAAAGTTATTTACATTTTGGCGACAGAAGCTAAGATACCAATGGCAAAAAACAAGTCTTCTCTCTGGATCCCCTGCTAAAAGCGTTTGAACTGGTCGGTACTTATACGGAATAAATTTGTATTTTTTTAAAATCCTTTGAACAGTACCATAACTGAAATTAGAGTCCTTGAGAATATCTGCTATTGAATTCTCACGATAAGCTTCAAAATATCCAATAACTGCAATTTCCGTGGCCTCGCTTATTATGAATTCTTTTTTTGCCCTTGTTTTAGCAAAAACATTTTCGTTGCCCCTAAATTTTCGATAAAGTCTCAGAAAATATCGTTCATACGGTTGAATGCGAGCGGGATATAATTCACTGTAGTATTCTCTTGCTCTCAAGGAGGATTTTCTGCATACTAAATAGCATTCTAACATATCACACTTTTCTTCATGGGAGAACATTTTTCTTTAAATTAATGACACAATAAAGCTTATAAACAAGTATTTACACTAATGTTTGACATTATTTGATTTTATCATTGTTTTCCAAAGCCTTCTAGTTGCGAGTATGTCCAGTTTAACAATTTGTCGCTTATCTTAATGCTGTCAAATCGCGAACGCCATGTTGTTTTCATAGCCGTCTTAATATTATAATACTGCAAATAATTAAAAATATTTATCGTTATTTTGACTTTATTTTTGACTTTAGCGGAAAAGTCATTATGAACTTTTTTGTTTAAAATTTGATGCTTTAACAGAAAAAAATATAATATACAGGGGTTTCCATTTAAAAAAATGTTATTTTACTGAAAAAAATCAAAATAACGACTCTCAATTGTTTTTTTTTTATTTCTCATTTTTACCAGCGTTAAAAATGCTACTAGTTTGCTAATTTAAACAACTTTGTATTTTTACTAATAACAAAGTTACCAATGGTGGACACTTAATTTGGATAACCCTGTATAGCTTTATTTGGGAGTGCAGCAGATGATAGAAGACGAACGGAATCAATTCGCAGCGTAAAAACTGTTGAACTCACACAAGAATTACGTAAAATAGGATTTGACATTAGTCGCAGTGGGACATATTTTCGTTTAATTCCCAGAAAATCTAATTCTGCAGAGGGACGAAGACATCTATTGACAGTCCCTGTTAAGCTCATTCGGGCTCAAACTGATCACCACAACAGTCACTTAGATAGCAAGTTCGCTGAAACGTCAATCCATTATTTAGAGAACATAGCATCTATACTTGGACCAGATCAAGTATTTTTCATATCTCAAGATGATAAAGCTCAAGTCCCTATTGGCGTAACTGCGGCAAATAAGCAAGCACCTCTTCTAATGCACACCGAATATAGAATCAAATTGCCTGATCACGATTGGGTAATCGCTGAGCGTCATAAATTAATGCCATTTGTTTATGCTGGTATCAAAATCACTTCCAATATGCTAGGACAACCGCAAGCCGTTGGATATTCTAGACCAACATACATCGCTATTCGAAGTGGAAAGCATAGTTCATCTACTGCTAATACTCATGCTCAGGATTTCGAGACGCTTCGCGAACTTGAACAGTTTCGACCATTAGCTAAAACTGACCATGGACTACTAAAACCAGTGGTAATCATGACGGTTGATGGATGGCCAGATGAAAATCCACGTTATCAAAAAGTCATAGGGTTTGCTATACAACACTTTAAGCGACATGATCTCGATGCATTGTTTTTAGCTACCAATGCTCCTGGAAGAAGTGCCTATAACAGAGTAGAGCGCAGAACGGCTCCTCTTAGTCGGGAATTGGCTGGTTTAATATTGCCTCATGACCATTTTGGGTCTCATTTGGATGAACGTTGCGTTACAATTGATGAACATTTAGAAAGATCTAATTTGGAATTTGCAGGAAATGTATTAGCTGAAGTATGGAGTTCAATGGAAATTGATGGCTATAATGTTAATGCAAAATATGTTGAAAATTGAGGCTATCAAGTCGAACATGCAAAAAGTGTGCTCTTTATCATGCTTCCGTCAAGTCACTAAATCGTCACATCGAAAATATCCATAGAAAAGTAAACACACACACTGATAGGAAAGTTCGACCTGTAAGAGTCGCTGCTCGTCGTGCTAATGAACTGATGTGCATTATTCGAAATTTAGAGCACCATGATGTTGAATGGCTCGATGAGAACGACGTAGACATTCCAAAATCCGATGAATGCGAGCAAACTCACAACACTGAGCAGCAATCGAAGCAATCCAATGTTATCGAAAACTTAGAATCATGGATTCGGGTTAAATGGACTGAAGACTGTTAATTTGAATTTAATACATGTACCAAAAATTTAAAATAAGTTTGTTATGTTAGTAAGATATAATATTTTTGTCCTTTACTCTATGTTGAATACCGTATCAGAAAAATATAATCTCTATCCTAAATCTATTTTCTTATGTTTCAAATTATAATTATAACGTTATAATTATAATATTAAATAAAAACAATACATTAATTCACAAATGTTTACGTAAGCATGGGGGGAGGGGGTAAGAGCTTTGCTTACTTTTGCTGGCAAGGGGGATTGGGGGTAAATAATTGTAATAAATCTGCTTACGTAATACTTGAACGGCCCCTAAAATATCAGCAAAGACTTTTCCATATTAAGCGCTATCTATCAATGTTTCACTTCTTGTAGAATAAGCTAAGCCTCTCGCTCAGAAATTGATTATCTATCCTTTAATTATTGCCTTTAGATATCGCAAAAAAGGCTGTCATTTGCTAAGATATAACTTTGTATATCTAGCTTTTAGAAATTTAATTCATAGCTAAAATATTTCTTCTCACCTTATGCACTTGCTTGCCATTAACTCGGGGATCTCTGGAATACAATCTCAGTTCCCACGAGCCAGACATGTCCGCATCTATTTCTTCTACTAGCGATTTTAGTGTCATGTAGTGTGTGTTAGGGAACTGATACGCCAAGGATAAATGCAACGACTTTACATTTGGATCCAGGCTTATCGCTGAAATAGTACGTTAGTTTAATAACGATTACGATCTATGTCTAGATAATATCGACTAATGAATATTCAAAAGAATGTCACAAAGTTTATATTGTATGTTGTTAAAAATGTATGATGATACAGTTCTGCTGATAGAAAGTTGTCGCAATTGCAAAATGCGATAGCTGGTGACAAAACTAATTCTCAGTTTATCCAAATAACGATCTGACAAGAAATACAAGGATCGACGTCTAGTTTTCTAAAAGACAATTACATTGTATCCATTTAAATGGATATTTATGTATATATACACACTCAAAAAATAGTATAATGGATTGATGATACGAAAAAAAAACATATGTGACTGTATATCAGAAATCTAACACAAAGCCCCATGAGTGCACACGCAAATTAATATATTACTGAACGTTAATTCTACTCCTAAAATACATAAAGATGCATACTAAAAGGTATCGACAAGGTAACAAATGTTTACGTCACTGAACAGTTTTTAAATATGGCAATATTCTTCTTTTATATACTCGTACATGGTATTGTCAAAGTTGAGTCATTTATTTTAACAGCTTGTAAAACTTTTCAACAGAAGTTGATATACCAGTAAACGTTATGGTAGTCATTATTGAAATGGGTAATAGGGGGGGGGCACAACAGGTCAAAAAGTTCGTATGACCTATGGTCCAAAAACCATTGGTTTTTGGTCTAAATGGTTTTATAGTTTACAATTTTAAGTGCGACCACAATCACCACAATCTTACTAATTTTTATAATCTAATCTAAAACGTTTTTAAATTGGGTAATTAAAAAATAAATGGCATCAAGTTTTTCTAAGTTAAGCCAAAATTTGTAGTCAGTAAGTTTCATTAAATTAAATATTTAAAACACACATGACAACAGCGCGTCGGTCATTCATCACTCTTATCGAACCGACAATCGATCGCAAACGGTAACAGTGGTTAGTTATTATTCGCGTACGTCCTCGTGTTTATTTGCAATGTTGTCGAATCACGAGTTCGCCGTCATGTTGTTAGTTTACGGTAAAGCTCGTCAGAATTCAAATCTTGCAGCTCAAATTTGTCGCGACAGATTTCGCCAACGGGTACACCCAGACAGAAGGACATTTGTGGAAGTGTACCAAAGACTTCGAGATACAGGAAGTGTTCAGCCCGCTAATATTCGCACTCGTGAAAGACAGGTTACTGTAGAGCAGGAGGAACAAATTTTAGATATCGTGGAAATCAATGCAGATATCAACAGTCGGGAATTAGGCCGCCGCGTAATAATCCTACGGGAAAATTTGCTTTATCCCTACCATGTACAACGAATGCAGGCCTTGTTACCAGAAGACTATCCTCGCAGGCTAACGTTCTGTCAGTGGTTTTTGCACAAAAACATTGAAAATCCGGATTTTTTAAGATTATTCTAGCGACGGACGAATGTACTTTTACGCGAGACGGGATATTCAATTTCCGTAATACTCCCACGTGGGCCCAAGAAAATCCTCATACCATTCGTGAAGGTCATTTCCAACAACGTTTTGGGGGGGTATTCTTGACGATCAGGTAATTGGCCCTTTCGAGTTACCCCCAAAGTTGTCAGGAGAAGGATACCTTAGCTTTCAAGCCAATAACCTACCAAAACTTTTGGAACAGACCTTATTCAACATGCCATTACAATGGAGACAGAATTTGTGGTTTCTTCATGTCGGGGCACCAGCACACATTTTTAGAGGCCTCATTCAGTATTTCAATGAACATTATCCAAATCGCTGGATCGGTCGAAATGCTCCCGATCCTCGAAAATGGCCAGCAAGATCTCCTGACCTCAATCCGATGGATTTTTGGTATTGGGGAAAACTTAAAGTGATGGTTTATGGGGCTGGTGCAATAACGACTGAACAAATGGACAACTTCGAGGACCTAGACTAAGAAGAAACTGGGTTCGTCGTAATGAAGCATGTGTGGAAAGTGGAGGACGACATTTTGAACACCTTCTTTAAATACAAAAAAGGGTAGTGTGGGTTTTAAAAAGAAAAACAATGTATGTATGTTAGTGATACATCCGTTTCTTTTTATTGTTTGCATTTTACGAGCACATTATCAAATAATGAAATAATACCTAACAGCCAAAAATAACAAACTCCATCTTTATTTACACTGCGTTCCGTCGTAATTTGCGTCTGGCATTGCGGCGTTGTCAGATTTTATTTTGCTTTAAAGTCGCTTTTCTCTAAAAAATGCCGTTTTGACCCCCATGTTATTTGAAACTTTTTGGTTCTTTCAACCCCCTCTATCGCCCATTTAAATAATGACTATCATAACGTTTACACCCTGTGTAGTACATAAAAGTTGCATAAGAGAGTTAGTTTACATTACAAATTATTAAAAAAAATCATTACCAAGTTAAATGGATACCATTTTTACAAAAACCGTTCAAAATTTTCTCCATTTGTACGATCAACGCAAAACGTCTTGAAAGCCCGATATCCTCGTCAATCCATGTTCCACTTCCTGCAAAAATCTAAGCTGCCTTGTTCATGAATTACCGCAGTAAAGTTTTAGGTTATATTTAATTTTCTACAGTTATTATATTTCATACTGGTGCATAAATACTGTTTACAACACAAAATGATTCTTAGTAGCTGCTGAATACGTATTTAATTTGCGTCCATCTCTATCAAACAATACGAACGATATCAGGTGTGAGAATTGCTTCTCCATTGTTCTTATCGCGAAAACAAGTTGGTGGCCGCCTATTAGAGACAAAAAACTCGTCCGCGCAGAGATATTTTTGCTAGGATTGGTTTTTGGCTAGCCAATCGTTTGCAGCGTGGGCTCGTCTCTCTAATAAACATGTGGGCGGGTCTTTGTTTGCTTTCTACGTTAAAAGGTTCATTTGTCTATTTGAAATAGTATCTGTTTAGGGTAATGTTAGAAAACAGAAAGAGCTGATTATGAGTTCATGCTATCATGTACTGACGCTTATGTTGAAAATGCAATCGATTTTTGAATGATAGACGATTCTTTGTTAAGGGCTATTTAATTTTTGGGCGTGTAAATGAAAACATACACAAGTATACTTACACCTGCTTCCCTTTGGAATGCATCGTGCCGTCGTAGTCGTACACCAAGGAAAACATGCAGTCAAAGCATCAAACTGTTCATATGTGTCACTGATTACTGAAAATATAAAAAACATACCTGAACTTTATGTTTTTCGACTGAGTACCCATAAATTTGCTTTTTTATACCGAAGCAACCCCGCAGGCAGAAGCCTGAATGTCGGAACATCGCGGCTGCTAAGAAATTTTGTAAATCCGATTTTTGAACTGCCTAAGGTTAGTAGAACTGGGAAAAGCTTGCTCTCGTAGATTGTTACACAATCTCGACACCCTCAGGACAAAGGAGCGGTCGTATCGGCCAGTTCTGGATGTACGAAGTTCGACACGGTTAGGATGGGTCGCCAAAGTCAGGCGGGTCTGTCTGGCAGGCACATCATGGAAGACAGCTCTGAGGATCAAAGCCCGTTGGTGTAGCGGTAGAAAAGAGCTAGATCGAAAAGGTTCCGAGACTGTCTGTTAGAGAAGAGTCAGACAACAGTCCTCTGGACAGTATCGACCATAAATAATGTTGCTAAAAATTGCTAGACTTTGTGTTTATTAAAAAAGTTACAATCAATTACTAATATACAGATCGCAAATGCCATTTATGACTTTGGAAAAGTTGCACATGTCCAATTAAAATACATGGTAATGCAAATGTAATTACAGGTCATGGAATTTATAAAAAAAAATCTTTCTAGTTTTATTTTTAATACTTTCCCAAGCATTTTTGTTAATATTATCAATAAAATTGGTTAGTTAAAGGAATTTAGGTCATACAGGATGTTCGAAAAATAGATGGTGATATTTAAGAGTGTAATTCCTTCTTTGAAAATATGAAAAAAAGTTTCTATAAATATGGGTCCGAAAATGCAGACTTTTTAAGGTACATGGTGATAAATTAAAAAAAAGCTTTTTTTTATCGTCTTAAAAAATATTTACGCGATTCTGTTGTAATTTGGCGATATTACTTGTTATATTAAGAGGCTAATTTAGCGCAGATAGACTAAAATTATCAAGTCCAGTGGTGGCCTGGGGACACCTTAGCCAATATTATTGGCAAAAAAAGCGTGCCACTACCTTTTTTGTAACATTAATATTTGTTGTATGATGAAGCATCTAAAAATACAACTTCTTTGCATCTTGTATTTTTTCGTCCATAATAAAACATTTCCTTCAATAATCATTGATGTTCATAACCATAATTGAGGATTTTGAAATGTTCAATCGTTACTCACTTGCATTGGATACTTCTTTGACAAATTGCATAGCGATTCTTTTCAGATAATCAGCGTGTTCTTCGGCCACGAAGAAGCCCATGAAACTGGGTGAAGTGTAGGTTTCTAGTTTAAGTGGCTCGTTCAGTTTTGCACCCTGTCTTTCCATTACTTTGTGCAGACCCTGGGTCAGTTGCAGGGAATCCTCATCGGGAACCTGACATAAAGCGGATATTTATTCACCTACTTTGCATAAATTTGAAAATTATATCCCACCTTAAAAAATGATACCAACGTAATGTGCGGTGAGTAGTTATGACATCCGTTCCAACCACACATTGTTTTCGACTTATCCCAAAAGTTCTGCAGCTTTTGAAGGAAGGCACCAGTCGGACAGGCATACAAAATGTATTCTCTGGGCGAATTGTCATCTAAAAGTGGATCATTCACGTGTGCTAACAACCATTCCGTCGCTTGTTGTGCCCCTTTGTGACCGGTTGCCGCCAGTGCTTTTTCTCTATAACAGCAGAGCACATTTTTCAAACACACATATCTATATAAATAGGTAATGTTAAATGATTAAATTCTAGTTACATCAGAATAAACAACATCTTTAAACTGAAGCACACTTTAAAGATGACACAAAAATTTTTTAAGCACTCTATAGTTGTTAAAATCATGTATGCTCCATTTTTTCAAATTATTTATTTTTCAACTGCTTTTTTTTGATAGGATCAGAATTTATATATTGAACTTAAAAAAGTATTGCTCATATCATAGCTAGACCTTGCAGGATTGCATATTATAACAGAAACAACCTTTATCTATATTGCAGATAAAATAAACTCTGCAAAATGCAAGCAACGAAAAATTACCAACTCCTTTAAACTTGCCTGAAAGAAACAAATGACAGATCATGGCCAACTAGAAAAGTAACTTACGCCCTATGTTTTGGAAACCCCATTTGTAGTAATGTTTGAAGGGGTGTCAGCTGCTGTTTGTTGGATTTTGTGGGGCTGCTAGTGCGTCTTGGCGGTACAGCGGGTAGACCTGACATCGTGCTGGCTTTTAACGGAAACTACCCTTTATCACACAAGAATTAAAGCTCTATTCGTAGATTTTCAATATATTTTTGAATATCCTTGCCCTCTTGGCGTTCAAATAGGTGTGTTGTTTGTAAATGTCATATGGGGGATGACCTTTAGAATTAGAACCCTTATCGAGCGCAAAGTGTCAATATTTGCGCACCGTTTATTCAAACGAACGGAAACTGAACAAAAGAGAAGATAAAACTAGAAGCGAGAAATTCAAATAGTAAAATGGACATAAAAGCTGTATTGTCAGTGTATCTATGGAATTAGCGTTTTATATGAAGTGTTAGTACTCCAAGAAAGCTCGATAATTTTGACTTGATATTCTAATTGTATGAAAGCTACTTTCAAACAAAGTAATAAGCTTGTGTTACTTCTTGCTAGATTGTAAGCTTTCGTTGGCTGTTATGCTGGCTGCCTATACGTTAGAACCACACCCCACATTTTTTGTGTTCTGAAATCTTTGTTCTGTGTTACGTTCCCCTACGCCTTCTGTTTGTTCTTGTGTTCTGTGCGCTCAAAAACATGTTTCGTGTTTTGATTTTTATTCGGGAATTGATTTGAAAAACAGAAAAAGTTCATATTTTAATAGTGTTCGATCTTAAAAATTTAGTAATGGCAGGAGTACTGTTCGAAGATATATTCAACGTAAAGGATATCGATCCGGAAGGCAAGAAATTCGACCGAGGTAAGCACTTATTGCTAGATGTATTCGATAAAATGTGTAGTTTGAGGTTAAGTTGCATGTATTTCAGCCGGAACTTTTTTATTTCATGCTTTTATCACTTTACAGTAATTTTGGTAGTGCGATGTAATGCGATATTCGAAAACAATAAAGTCATTTTGCTTAGGGTAGCATTTCGGTATATTGCATAACAGGTGTTTATGTTTAGGGGGTGTCTACCCCTTAATTCTACTTGGTATTGCCTAACTCTGAAACAGACCAAAATTATATATTGCACTGTTGTGTACATGAAAAACCGTAAATATGTGGCTATGTTAAGTGTACCATCACTGTGGAATCTATTCAGGAACACTCAAAATTGTATATATAGGACTTTAAACAATTGTTTTAAAAACAATATATTATGACATACATTTTACTAAATGTGTTTAATGCTTGTGGAACCGGGTTGTGCAAACTTATGGTACTATTAACATTAAACTGGTAGATGTAGATACGTTTATATTGTTTTTAAAAAGAATCTCCCTATTGTACTTTAGTTATTACTTTGAATTACCCAATATAATCGTGTAAAATCGTCGAGTTCCGACTCGACGTCAAGTTGACGTCAGATCGAGATTTTCAATATTTTACTATTTCTTTCATTATGCGACTTTTATATAGGTAATTTTTGAAATATCAACTCCTTTCGACGAGTCCTACAAGCAGTTAAAATAAACGACTCAACTTTGAAAACACCCTGTAACCTGTAATACAGTATGGGAAGCAGGTATCAGATCACAGATACACACGGGTTCTTGAAATTTATTGGTAGGGAACCCTTTGTGGGTCAGAGTTTTCGTTTTCGTTCCTGGCTGTTTCAAACGAACGAAACTGTACACTGGGGAAATTTGGAACGCTGAATTGGAGTATGATATCCAAATCAATGTTAGATAGTCATGAAATGGGATTAATTTCAACCTGATTGATTTTTAAAAGGATGTCGGTCTAATAATACCGCCGGTTGAGTTGTGTAATAAAGAATTTGATTTTAATATCTTGGAGAAATGTAGAGCCAGACGAGAGGAAGTGACACTGTCCGTAATTACAAATTCTGCTGGCTTATGCAACCCAACACGAATAGACAGGATAATTAATATACGAAAGGGGAATGTTCTCTCTTCAAATTTTTTTGTTTGTGGAATTTTCTTTCCTTAGTCGAGCTATCGGCCAGCAGACCATAAAATATTATGCTGGCCACAAGTTAATCGCTCTTAGGAAAAAGTTATAGATCCATTCGACCCGTTTGACAATTTCTCTTCTGCTGTATAGACCTTCCAATAACGTCGGAATCAGAATTGAGATGAGTATTCCCCCAATGGCAGCGGCCAGATCGCGACAGGTTGAACTTATATTTTCGTTGTGCGCGACACAGGTATCGAAAGTATTCGTATCATTCTGTTTTTTGTAATAAGCAGTTCAAATGTATAAGTAGCTTTCTTACAAATACGAAAATATATTTAAAGTAAAAAAATTGAGAGAAATCTTTTCCCACCTACCGCAATGTAACATTATCGGGTGTTAAATTAGTAGTGATAGGGTGCGATAGACTTAGATAGCATTCTTCATTCTAATGTATGCCCATATACTTATCCGCTATCTTTGGGTCGATCAATTTGCGAAATATATCTATGCAGTATGCTATTTTTAAAAAAGGCACAGTCCTTTATTAGTAATCGCCCCAACCCACATTTCTCTGATCCGTCGCCTTTGTAAACAGACATCACTCTATCTACTGATGGAAATGCTAAAAATATCCCCAAAGGATTATTATTCATTATGCATTTTTCATCCCAGTAGGGAAAAAAGACAAATCGGATTTTTCGAATCACTTCCATCTTACCTTGTAAAACTCTGACGCAGAACGCACAGATGATTTTTGTTTTCGATTACTTTATTTTTTATCCATAAGTTTTTGTTTGATTTGTTTCAGTTCAAAAGTTGTCATAACAAAGTTTCTTTAAGCTGCTTCAGTTTAAAAAACTTAAGGGAAACTATTGACAATTTGAGGATTATTTATGTTTCAATTAGGTATTTGTTTTGTTGTATTCCATGGCCTGCCTTTATTACTTGTCTTTTCCATATATACACATAGTGAATATGCATTTATACAAAATATATGCCTTTTGGTGTAAGCATTACTTACATACTTTCAGCGATATTTTGTTATGCATATTTTCAAAAAGTGTGATTTTATTCTGATGAATAGAAAACAATTCCAGAAGTAAAATAAAAATTCAAGGGATATCCGTATGAAGTCTTCTTTGGCCTAAGTTTTAGCTTGTTTGGACATTATTTAGCAACCTTTTCATAAAAAAATCATAGCAATGCATTTAATTTCTTTTGACAAAATTAACCATTTTTGTCAGAATGTCGAAAAAATGGCCTCTGGCGGCCACATGTGGAACTAAAAACACTCAAATATTATAACATTTGTTGCCCAAGAATAGCTCTGTTAAATTGTTAAAATCGGCACAGGCGTTTCGAAGATACAGGGTGTTTTTTTTACGGCAACCACCTTATTTTTAGAGATACAGCAAACATTGTGAAACAAAAAAGTTCACATTATCCTCGACTTCAAAGATCAGATATTTTTTGTTAGGTTAATATAGCCGAAATGACAGAACAGAACTGTTACGACTACCTAGCGGCCATTTCAGAAATTTGAAAATATTTTCCAGGTTTTTTTCTTGGCCATTGTACGAAGAACTTTTTTGCCGCATGCTTCTGCAATCGTTAGGTTCCTGGATACAGTAATTCGCATTCTTAGTGGGCCAGCCTGTACAAACCAAGCTGATATTCAAATTCTCTCTCCCGCCACATGTACTATTCAAGGGCTGGTCTAGAATTTATCCTATTAATGCTCCTTAAATCCATTGTGTTCTATCTGGTCAAGGCCAGCTTGAAAAAAAAACATGGAAATTGCTCGAAAACGAAACAGACGCATTTACTGGCAGCTCAGTTTTTTTTTTTAAGGGGACACAAGTTTGGCAAAAAATCTCGTTAGCACGTGCAGCCCCCTAAGCGGGGGTGACACCACCCCCAAAATCTTAAATGGAAAGGTCTTTCAATCCCCTTTATAATGATACACACACATTTCCCGTTGGTATAGAGAATTCAAACGGGGACGGGTGAGTCTTAGCGACGATCCCAGGGTGGCAGTCACCCATTAGTTTCTTTGTTTTGGAAGACAACCGACTGCATAGCTTAGGTGTGGAACCATGCGGACATTTATAAGACACCCTGGGAAAAGCTATAGGGTGGTACCGCCTCCGTCGACTGGTCCTTGTCTACCACCTTCTGTTTGCGTATTAAATAGACGTAAAGTGGCCGGCAATCGGTACTGAGGTATTCCCCAACTTCTTTCTCCCTGAATTACGGCGGCGACGTGTTCCAATTCGACGTGTGTGGTTCCAGCAGGAAGGGGCGACCGCCCACACAGCCCGAGCATCCATGGACGTTATTCGCCCTCTCTACCCTGGTCGCCTTATTTCCAGGTTTGGCGATGTTCATTGGCCTCCTCGGTCCGCAGATTTATCCATATGCGATTTTTTCTTATGGGGACACTCAAGGCTAGAGTATACGCGAACAAGCCCCGAACTCGGGACGAATTGAAGTGCGAAATTCTCGTGGAAGTCGCCCAAGTTGAGAGAGCGATGTTGGAGAGAGTCTACGCGAACTTCCAAGAACGCCTTTAGCACTGCATCAACGATTTCGGCCACCACATGCCTGATGTGATTTTCCACACTTGACTGTCTCAAATGCTATTTCCTTGTGAACCTGATTCCATCAATAAATTTGTTTTCGAGTAAAAATTAACTATTTTATGATTTTTTTAAAAGAGTCCATCCTCTCTGCCGCACCCTGAATAATAATATGAACTTTTCTCCCAAATTTATAACACATACCCTTCATATTTGAGCGTGTATTTTAAAACAGCGAATGTCTTTGTGTGGTATAGTTTACACCTGATAAACTTAGTTTGCTTGAACATAGAATATGAATAACCGTAGGTTTTAGTCGAATTGATGAATGATGCGAGAGAGGGTGTCGGTGTGTCCTACGAGCTCTACCTGTCTAGCTCGCCGTATGCTGTGATTCCGTTCCGGTGGTGTGTGCGAGCCTGAGCGAGTTGCGCACGGTTCGTAAGGGGCCCGGAGCCAACGATTGCCGGAACGGTGCCTCCTCTCGGCGACCGGATCGATACAGCAGCAGCGAGTGCCGCCGCGTTGCCGCTGGTTTGAGCATCGCGAACGGTCAAGGTCACCGGGTCTAGGTTAGGCGCGACGCCGTACCGCGCCGCTAACAACTCGCGCCGACGCGCATCTACCCCTCTCGCTCTCATTCGCTATGCCTATTTCTTTCTCTTGGACGGCGAACACACGCAGCGATGCCGGATCGGACGCCGTACTCACATATTTTTGAGGTGCACATTTTTACGGATACTCAGATCCTACGACTTATACGAGTCCCTTCCCACTTCAGTTGACCCAACTATTGTAATCTTAGTTTTTTCTTATCAAACACAAATAATAAAAATGTAGCAGGGTGTTATAGGTTTAAAATATTAACCATGAATATTTTGATAATGTATAGTAGAAAACACCAACTTTATCACTCCCTAATCAAATTTGCAGCATAAAAATAACACATCTTGCAATTACGGCATATCATCCTATTTTCATTTCAATGCAAAATAAGTCTATAACGCATAGGTGGCTGTGAAAAATAAAAGCCAAGACGATTGTTTCGGAAAATCGAATTTATTTTATTCAAAATAGTCTCCTTCACAGTTAATAGATCCATTTGCACGGAAAAAAAGAGTTTCGAATGATGATTTTAGCTCATTGACCGGGATGTCCTTCAAAATGGTAATCGACGCCTTTTGGATGGCCTCTAAGTCGGCATACCGCTGTCCCTTGATGGTCAAATGAAGAAAATAGTCGCACGGTGCCATATGATGAGAATATGGGGAGTGGTTGGTGGTTAAAATGCTATTTTCTGTCAAAAAATCGGATATTCTGTCTGAACACGACGAATACGCAAATGCCTCATAGCACCAATATAAAACAGTAACGAATTCCTTTTGAATAATTCCCTTCCAATCGTAAAAGCAAATCAACATTGTCTTCACTTTGGACTTTTCCAAACGGTTTTTTACGGATTTGGCTCGTTTTGACGCTTGGTTGCGTTTCGTCACCAATCACAATGTTGACCAGAAACTTTTTGTCTGCTTTAGCCTCTTTAATGATGTCCCTCGAATGTTGAATTCGAAGCAATTTTTCGTCTTCCGTGAGCGAGCGCGGCACAAACCGTATACACACCTTTCTCGTGGCCTAATGCTTGGTCAAAATGCGATGGAATCACAAATTTCGGTTTTCCAACACTCACGATCCTCTTAGAACCGTGTAGACTACTCGCGGACTCGGCTACGAGATAAAGAATCATCACCATACACTTGTATCAACATCTGATGCGTTTCAGTGAATGTGTTACCAAGTTTAACACAGAAATTGTACTGTTACTTTGAGCAGCGTTCTCTCGAGTCGATTTTAGTTGATCAACTTAAATCGAAACGAATATTTGTTCACGCACATAATAAAAATTGATGCGCTAGTTGTTTCTAAAATGGCTGCCAATGAAATTGTGCAAGCAGGCGTAGCAGCCATTCACGGATTATTAAAAGAAGAAATCAGAGACATTTTGTCAAATTTTACAGAAAATCTAGAAAACGTCGGTTTTGGGTCAGGACTTGGATATTGCGAAGAAATAAATTGGGCGTTTCAGGAACCCTGCTCAAGGAGCTGGCTTTAGAGGACAAGGATGCCTACGAAAATCATTTGATAATGTCCGAAGAACAACTTCAAGGACTTCTTCTAAAGATAAAACGCAAAATACAAAAACAAAATACCATTATGAGAAGATCTATCAGCGCAAGTTGATGATAGTTAAAGCGTTGTCTCTAGCATCCTTGTTTCGATAACTCTCGAGCAGGGTATTCCATAAACAGTCGTGCTGTTGATATACACGGTTTGTCCGGAAAGTAATAGGACTGAATCGATTTAAAAAAATTTATTGAGCCAATCGTTACAATTCTTTAAAAACTTTCAAAATAGGCTCCTTCTGCGTCGATGCAGCGCTGCCGGCGCCATTTCCAACCATTGAAGGCGTCACGGAAGGCATTCTCCGGAATAGCCTTGAGAGCCGCGGTGCATGCTGCTTGGATCCCCTCTGTCGTCTCAAAATGCTTGCCTTTCATCGAGGAATCCAAAAAAGTCCGGGAGGGGCCACATCTGGGCTGTAGGGCGGCTGCGGAAGCGTTGGGATGCCGGCCTTGGTCAGGTAACTGTTCACAAGAAAGGCGGTGTGAGCCGAGGCGTTGTCGTGGTGCAACTTCCAGTCAGCTGCGATTGTCGGACCCGACTGACCCTTCGTTCGAGTCTCCTGAGCACTTCCACGTAAAACTTGGCGATGACGGTTTGTCCGAGAGGAACAAATTCATGGTGGACGATGCCTTTGATGTCAAAAAAGACAATGAGCATCGTTTTCACTTTGGATTTGCTCATTCTTCCCTTTTTTGGGCGAGGAGACGCCGTCGTGCGCCACTCGGAAGATTGCCTCTTCGTCTCGGGCTCATACTCAAAGATCCACGACTCGTCACCTGTGATTACGTTATTCATAAATTGGGGGTCACTTTCACACATGTGCAAATTTTCTTGGCACACTTCCACTCGCCGCAATTTCTGGTCGTCAGTGAGCACTTTTGGGACCATCTTCGCGCACACCTTGCGCATGTTCAGATGCTGTGTCACAATGTCATGACCACAGATTTTGGTAAATTTAACATCTGGACAATTAAACGAATACTTACTCCCAAAACGCCTGGTGCCACCGAAACACACCACTTCTTGCTAAAGCAACACCTGGGTAAGCCTGCTTGATCATATCAAACGTCTCTGTGGCAGATTTACCGAGTTTCACACATAATTTAATCGCGTACCTCTGCTCTAACGAACGCTGCATTTTCGGCTTGCACCACTCACAGAAACACGTCGCCCGAAAATGCCTGTCCTGACTCTCCAAGTACTCGGAGACTACTGACCAGCCGCTCATTCGTTAGCTAGGAACGCCCTCTACCGAATCCAGTCGGAGCGCGCACTCTCCGAAGTACAGTCGTGGCGGAAGAAAATGAGTCCTATTACTATTATATCCAAAAAATGCAGCACAATACTTTCAGACCACTTCATGCTCATTTTTTGTCTTTTTTTCCACACACAACAAGCACACGAGCCACAAAATCAACTTTATTCAATGCGAAACTCGACCGACTACAGTTCACATGCTTCAAATCCGTTTCAACTTGTCTGAAAATCGTCTATGACGCATTAAATTGATCGATAAGTTTTGAATCGATCAAACTTTTTCGGTTCAACTAAAATCGAAAACACGGTTCGCAAGTATATTTTTATTAGATTTTTGTTGGTCAATAAAAATCGTTATACTAAAATCGACTCGTGAGAACGGTGCGTAACTCCGCATGAAGTGGTTCGATTGTCATGAAATTTCGACAGTGCATCAATAAAAGATGTACCTATTTAACGCTAGTATCCGTTGATAGATGGCGCCACTTGCCTCGGATATCTGTTATTGTATTATTTGATGACTGGAAAGTTTTTGAAGAAACCAATTTTGTTCAGGTTGTATTGTAGTTACCATACGCTTTCACTGCCCATACGGGCATTAGGTTTTTTGCCAGCTGTGTTTCATTACTTACTACAGAAAAAAAGAAAACCGCTATATCAAGCAGTCTTATTTATTATTTATCTAATATCACAAGCGACAATGTTATCTGTACTGCCCTTGCTACATAAAAAGTGAAGTGTCAAGTATACACATTGTCGCGTCACGTTTTGTTGACCTTTGCGAGGTCTGGCGATGTCTTGGTTAGCGTTGCAGTTGCTTCAATTGTTGTTTGCTTTCTTGAGCGCATACTGATTACCCGCCGGCCGAGAGAAAAATGACTAGGCTAACGCACGCACGTACGCCTTGTCGAAGGTCAGAAAAACGTGCGTTCTGCGTTCCCGTCACGACAAAATACAATTTTATCATTTCCATGAAATGCTGTTGATGTCTCAACGTAAACAGTCGTCGCCAAGATCAAGATCTCTTTACTTGGTACGGAATATCGTTATACAAATTATTTATATTATTCCGATTATTTTCAAATTCTTATCAGGGTATAATATCTAACACGCTGATTAACAAATATTTACTATTCTCGTACAACGAATGGTCATCTTCAAGTTGCTTTTTATTTTCCACGCCACACTGACAAGGGTTGTATATTAGAGTGTCTCAGTCTCAGGGGCCAAACAAATTTTCCAATTGAGATACGCATACCCTCTATTTTTTTCCATTTGGCTCAAAAAATAAATATTAACTAAATAATAACTTTGAATTTAGAAGCTAATAGGGAACCATGTATGGATTTCAAAACCTTAGTAAGGTTATTTTTGGTGGATAGGTTGCTCCGTGGCCATCCATCGAGCTAGATATATGGCGCCTGGTGGTCGACTCTTGATTTTTTCTCTGTTTCTCCGCCAAGTATTATTATTGGAAGTTCTATTAATTCTCGATAGCCGTCTCTAGCAACTTCTTTGGTCGATTCACGTCGATAAAATTGCAACAGCTTTTCAGTCTCTGAAATATTTAGATATGTTAGCTTTTCAGTATAACTCTAACTTTATCTTCAAGATTCCAGTCAACAATAGCATCCCAAACCAGTGCATTATCGGTTTTAAGTATTTTGGCGTCCAAAAACTGATATCAAAGATTATAGCGCCATCTATGAGACAGTAAGAGAACACAGCCATGTTCGACCTTGGAAAAGAGTTAAAATGTTTGGCTCTACTATTGTCCCATAGGGTGGCGCTCGGATCCGCAATCACTATTTGGCCTATTTAATGCCTCTTTTAAATGGGTATTTTCAGGTGCAATGCGTCGGTATCGTATTAAAATTGTCATTAAAATGTCGCCAACAAGCGACTGAAGATCCTAACGTCATCTATAGTGTATTCACACCCAAGATAGAATGGATGCGTGATTGCCAAAAGCAAGGACGGCGTACAGGGCCGCATTCAGGGCTACCACCGAATGATGGACTACCACCAACGTGTTGTAAAACAAAGATGACAGTATTTAACGAAATTATCTAATATAGTGAAGTAGTTATAGTTAAGGGTGTCGCAAAATCAAATTTTTATTATTGAAGGGGTGCTAAATTTTTCTATAGATCTACAAAAGACCATAAGCCGTCATCCACGAAGCCATCTACACCCCCAATGTGGCAAATAATGAGCCTTTTTCCTTTGCCTAGAAAGATAAAATTCCGCTAAGTACACATGCACGTCTTGTAGGTACGAACATAGAGAGATATTGTGCGCAAAAAGTGATACCGTGAACTACTTCGATCTATTTACCTGCTGGATTTTTCAATCCGGTCGACAGTCCATCTAGAAATGCCCTGCTGGATGAAGTCACAGTTTTGTCAACCCATACCTTCGGAGTAGTGTGCCCAGCGTTAATCCAGGTTTCGTCCAGGTAATAGATCTTCCTGTGCTGATCCCTGAATGATTTAATTTTGGTCAGAATTTCTTCTCTATCCATAAGTAAGCTGTTACGACCTCGTTTCTTCCATTCGAAATTAAGATGCTTCAAAAGTTTATGAATAGTCGAACGTTTGAAATTTGGTAACCTAGCATCCTCGTTAACCTCCCGTAGTACTTTATCAACTGTCGGTATTTCGTTTCTGAAAAAGAACTCGTGTACTTTCCTCCGAATCGCATGCTTGTCAGCGTCATCCAACGATCTTATGATACTTTTGCGATTTTTACCCGTCATTGGCTTGGAAAAGGCATGCTTTTTCTTATGTTCGTTCAAAACATTGTACACTGTCGCTTGGCATACCCCAATTTTATCTGCCACTTTCAGAGCTATTTTCGGGTTAGTTGATGTTTCGTCTTCCTTCCGCTCTAACTTGAATGTATTCAATATGACGTCTTTCATGTCTACGCTAAGATGTCTTTTTTTTATCGCTTTCTAGGAGGGCTAAGGGAGTAGCCTACAGCCTCGTCATCAGTATCTGTACTGGACATGTTCAGGATTGGTTCAAAACAAATAATAACGAGGAATAACAATAACAAACAGAAACTTAACAAATTACTGAAATACACTTAACAACAACAACAGCAACAACCAAGCAAGGTGAATACGAAAATACGAGCATGCAGTGATACACGCGACGGTCGGTGGCCTGAATGCAACTCTGCCTGCCCTGCCCCTGCCCAGCGCATTATTCCGCCAGGCGACCGTTTGAAATTTAATGGCGAATTGACCGATAAGAGGCGTTGCGCCCACCTGTTACCGAGAGATCACGCGCTAACTGTTATTATTTACATCTCATCTTGAATTTGGATTCAGTTTAGGAGAAGGTATAGCAGAATCGAACACTATCTTTCTTCAAAGCAGATTTATAAATTCCCTTTTTGACTTCTGCTACTGTCTCATAGATGGCGTTAATTCTCCTTTTTTGGGCGCCGGAATACAGTTTGTACAGTATCGGCTATTTTCAATGGGATCAATGTTTGGTTAACATATATTCAAACCGATATGTTTTTTTAACTTGAAATTATTTTTATTAAGCTTATCTAGATCCACAGCGCTGAATAGGGCAAAAATAACCTCCCTAATCTCCGTAGCTAAGGGAGCTTTCTTATTTCGATAACGGATAACAAAGCTCACAACGAAACATCAAAACACGGGCACTAGAAAATATGTTTAGAGTAAGTATTTCTAGCCCTGAGCGTGTTAGTGTTTCTCTAATGTTCTCACTGGTCCGTTAGGAAAATTCACGAAATCCATTTGTCTGTAAAGTTTATATTACGAATAACGTTCACGTACGAGTAAACAAGTTAGATTCGTTGTTTTTTCGGAGTTATGATGAAACAATGCGTGGATATGGCAACGTGTCCGTCGTCCATATAGATTTTTCGTGTTGGAATCTCCGCTGGCGTAGGCTGGTAGTGGGGGAAATTGCGCATTCGGAATTGTACCCCCTGGCCCCCCGTTGCCGCTGGTTCGTCGGTAATTTGTCGTCATCCGACAACTCGCTATTCAGTGGTCGCACCAGCACGCATTTCGAAATGTCCCCCGAACAGCGAAATTTTTGTCCACAAACCGTATCCGGGAATCATCCGTGGTTATTTTCCCTTCCGGTCTCCGGCAGCAGTTTGATCCGGCTTCAAGTTCAGTTTCTGCGCGACGGACGCCCATCGCCACCGACTCAACTATGATGGCAGCCGTGAACTTGGCAAGGTGAGTGTCGTACTTGGCCGTGGAATCGAATCGAGCAGCGTTTTATTGTTTTTACGAGACGACCAGCTGTGACATCGAAGCAAATTGTCAAATGGAGTTTTTACAAACCACTGTCATGTGAATAATAGGAACGTTAACGCTACGACGTGGTGCAAATTACAATTTTGACTAAACAAAAATTATATGAAACAAGATGTTGCGCCGTCACTTATATTGCTTGCTAATTAACAAATCGGAAAGCGATTTTGGTTTTCCCCATATTCGCAAAACTTTTTGTTCCTGGAAACGAGTTTTTGTTTTCAATTTTACGAAAAAATACCTAATATTCTGATCCGTGTACTGACACGTTCTATTCGAATGATTTGTACACAGCAACTTGCATCCATGTTGCGTAACAACCGAATTGGTACGGATGACGTCAGCGTAAGCATTGTTTACCTGGACATATTTTTTTCTAGAATTTAATGTTCGTGTTCCTGCCATATGTTACAATTTGCCACGTTAATGCATCGCAACATTATAATCATTAAAAAACGGAATCGAGTGTTAGGTAGCTGGATTGTGAGCTTTCCACGTTATACCAGCATGTACGTTCCATTTCAAATTATCCGTGCGTTTTAGTAAATCTGTTAAAATCGAAGCTCATTCAGTTTGCCCAATAACGGACTCAAACTCCAGACGAATTATTATATAGGGTGTTTTCAAAGTCGAGTCATTTATTTTAACAGCTTGTAGAACTCGTCAAAAGAAGTTGATATACCAAATTACCTATATAAAAGTTGCATAATTAGAGTTAGTTTACATTTTTAAAAAATCTTTATCAAGTTAAATGTATGCCGTTTGTTCAAAATTGTTCGATTGACGCTCGGCGAACTGACGACTCTTCAAAAGCTTCAAAAATAAAATCCTGATGTCCATAAATTAAATCACAAGGATTTTTAGTGCGCCGATGAAGTTCTTCGAGAGTATTTACTGCTCCATCACGATCACCAAATATCGTCACAGAAAAAAATCGCAAGGCGTTAAATCCGAAAACGAGCAGGCCAAAAAATTATTCTATTCGGAAAAGCATTATTTAGATGTTGACGTCTAAAATGTGGCGGAGTCCCATCATGTAGAATCCAACCGCATGTTCTGTCTCACATTTAGAGAAACATCTAATAATTGCGGCAGATTGTGTTGACGAGAATCTAAGTAAATTTCACCAGTCAGTCAAGGTGGAATAAACATGCCGTTTACCACGTCAGCCCAAAAATTTAATGAAAATCTGCGTTGAAAATTAGTTCTTTTTACAGCATGCGGATTTTCTTCTGTCCGAACCTGATTGTTGTGGAAATTGTGCAGTCCATTTCGTGTAAATGTGGCCTCGTCTGTACAGAAAATTAATTTCGTCGAATCTTCATTTCTGCTGAAATATTCTAAAAGCGACTGGCAAAATACAACTCTTCTGGGATGAACTTAAGGTTGTAACTATTGTAGCCGTTGATAATGATAAGGATGATACTGTTCTTGTCGTATTGCCTTCCACACTTTACTATGAAAAAATTGAACTTAAGCTGCTATGGCTCTAGTACTCATTGTTGGGTCACCTTTGACCATTTCTAAAATGTTTCCCTCAATTTGTAACATTTCAGGTTGAGCAGGTCTTCCAGATTGACATCCTCGTTGTGCTTTTAAATATGCTGTGTCACGAAGTCTAATAAATTTACAAACATCCGTGGGGCCGGATGATTTCTTAAGGCGGCTCCGACGCAGTGAGTTTCAAGCCATTTACAAGAGTTCAGCTGCTTCAAAACTGATACTCCGTTTTTCAATATTTTTCAATGAAATTCATACAGTATGTTGAGAAGATATGTGCCCAGGGTGCTATAGGAGCACTTTTTGAAATTTTGTCTTTGCACAAGTTTTATGATGGGTTGAAGTGCGCACTTTTTCTGGTCAACTTCGTTATGAAATTTCCACACGGAGTTACTAGTATGCCAAAGCTTTGTAGTTTTAGTTCAATGGCAAGGGTGCTATAGGCAAAAAGAAAAAGTAACAATTGCTGAAACTCCATTTGTGACGTTACAGGTGTTCCTTATCATTGATAGAAGAAAATTGTACTGCTTAAAAAGTGGGGGTTGGGGGAAGGTGATTCTAAACGTTGAATCTTTGATATCAGTGAAACACGTTCTATTATTAAGAAGCTTCTTTTTAGCACGCTGCAAGAGTTTCATTGGAAAATAATAAAAAATGAAACGTAAGCTGTGAAGTGCAAATCGCTTTTTGGGCGAAATTCGTCTACTGTTTCCTCCTGCCAGTCCAAGGACGCGACGGTGCGTTCCGATTAAGAAAAAATGTATTCAAATAATTTAAGACCTTTCCTAAAATAAATTCAAGAATTCAAATTACAATTCGTTTATTTATGTCAGTAAACACAATATGTCACAAGGGTCATGTGGTACATGGTAACAATTGAATGAGGGTCATAAAAATATCTTATGCCCTCAAAATAAGAGGAAACAGGTAGTTTTTGCAAAGCAACAAACAGGTAGGCTTATACCTGATTAAGTACATTTCTTGTCTACTATAATATACTAAGTGACATATAAATCCGAACACCCAGTTTAAATGGTTTTATTTTAATAAAATTTTGTATAAGTACTTAATGAAGCATAATAAGTAAATGATAAAAATTTCAAAATGATTGCACTGCTTTAAAGCCCTTTGACCTTTAATAATGTGTGGATGCACCCTGATGTGCTACGCATTCTCCAACGCGCCTAGGCATGCTTCTGATCAGGTGGTCAATGTCCTCCTGTGGTATCTCATTCCAGGCAACCACCAACTCCTCTCGAAGTGCTTCTAGAGTCTGAGGAGGACGTTGCAAATTGAGCAATCACCTACCCATCATATCCCACACGTGCTCAATTGGGGATAAGTCGGGAGATCTTGGTGGCCATGGTAACAATGTGACATCATTATGTTGAAAGAAGTCTATCGTGACTCTTGCAACATGTGGTCGGGCATTATCTTGTTGGAAAGTTGGATCTGCCAGGGTGTCAAGATAGGGTAAAAGATGGGGTTCTAGAACTTCGTGGATATAACGCTGCGCGTTCATGTTACCTCTGATGAAGATTAAAGGTGACCTGGAACCATAAGCTATAGCACCCCAAACCATAACTCCAACAGTGTGATGAACATGTCCTTCAACAAAAAACTGTGGATTCCTCCTTTCACCACGTCGCCTTCTAACCCTGGCACGACCATCGTGCATGCCTAAACAAAATCGAGACTCGTCACTAAAGACAATACTGTTCCATTCCTGATCTCAGAGTGACCGTTGTCTGCACCACTCAAGGCGATTACGTCGGTGTTCTCGAGTTAAAGGGAGGACCCAGTGTGGCCGGTATGAAAACAAGCCAAAACTTCTCATTCGTCGGTAAACACTTCGCATGCCAATAGGTCTTCCGTGTTCTGCAAACCATTCATTTGCAATGGACCTGGTAGTGGAGAAACGGTCCCTTAAGGCCAATAATCTTAAGCGGCGATCTTCACGGTCTGTTGTTCTACGGCGGCGTCCAGTGCCCCTTGCTCTTTGCGTACGGCCTTCTCGAGGCCATGCCTGACAACACCTAACCACAGTGTCTACACTTCTTTGCACTCTAACTGCAATTGCCCGAAAAGAAAGTCCAGCTTTCCGAAGTCCCACTAAGTTGACGAAATCGTACAGGTCTCCGTACTCTAGGCATCGTAACCGATCGTAAAGGATGTCAAGAACCAAAATCCGCCAACGTTGATTCTTTACTGCGGCTGAAATATTCATTTTTAGAGCGTTAGTGAATTAAAAAAAAGTAGTATAAAAACCGGAATGTTCAACTGATAAGGCTGAAAATTTGTTCACTTGTTATTTACAGTAAGATAAATACATTCACCAACTTTTATTAAAATAAAACCATTTAAACTGGGTGTTCGGATTTATATGTCACTTAGTATAGGTAGATGGATGTGATACTGCCAGAAATGAATGTGTGCGATCAATAAACAGACCACAAGATTTTTGTATTGCCTTTTTTATTGCGTTACTAGAAAACTCTGTTGGGTATATGATGGAGTTTACTAGAACTTTACAGCTTGTTGTCTGCCTTCTTCTACAAACTTCGCCAAATCGAGACGCTGTCAACCTTATCCTCCGATGAAGCCGCGACAAAGTACAGTCCTGTGATTTGGTGACTTGTTCGATCTGCAAAATCTCGTCGTCACTTTTTTTAAGTTTGCCTAAAAATTTTCGCTCCCCCCTGGTTCTGTCCGAAAAGGAACATATGAAGGTAGACCTCCAAGTGTGAGAACACCTGAAATTGAGGAAGCAGTGCTGCACGAAGTCGAAGAACATCCTGAAACGAGTACGAGGAAGATCGCTAGACACTTAAATGTTTGCCATCAAATTTTAGTGGATTTTCTCTTATACCCTTACCATATTTTAAGAGTACAGACATTACTTTCCATTGATTTTCCAAGGCGTGTGACCTTTTGTTAGTGGTATCTCCAAAAAATTACACAAAATCCTCAATTTGAATCAATGATTGTGTTCACGGACGAAGCTAATTTTTCTCGAAATACCATTCACAATTTTCACAATAATCATTTGTGGGCAGAAGAAAATCCCTACGCCGTAACCGAAACCCATTTCCAACTTTCGGCTAACGTTTAAGCAAGAATTATTGGCAACCACTTTATTGGCTCATTCTTCTTGCCGGGACAGACTTACCTCAAAGACGAGCGCCTTTGCTGCTTGATGATGTTCCGTTAGTAATAAGAGACAATATGTGTTACATGCATGATGGTGGACCAGTGCATTTCAGTGTAGCGGTTCATAATTATTTACAAACTGTTTATCCAAATCGTTTGGCCGCGGTGGACTCCAAGAATGGCCACCAAGGTCCCCAGACAACTGTTTAGATTTCTTTTCGTGGGGCTATCGTAAGGCGCTAGTGTACACAAGTCCCTTTAACACTGTAGAG